TTCATGAAGTTTTCAACCTCAAAACACACAACAGCACACAACTCTATAAGGCAAGCAGGCAGGTTGTTGGTTGTTGGTTGGCCCATAAATAAAGGAATCGGGCAAATAAATGTGTGTTTTCTGGTTTGTTACTTTAATAACTCACTCAGCCCGACCGCCTCGTATGCCAGAAGTCACACAATCCTTAAATAAATTTTCTACCACATTTGCCGCAGTAAATCATCATTTGCGTTATTATTAACAGGAGGTCAACACATACATACGTAGACGTGGATCCAACGCACAGACGCATGCACCTTAGAAGCAAGTATTTTAACATGGATTTTGTATAGCAAAAACACACACAATACTCTGGAGAAATATGCATATCGTTCAAAACTTATACCGACGTGTTTACAGTGTAACAACAGCAGTATAGCAGAACAGCAGCAGCCAGAGTAGCAGTAACTGAAATGCTGTTACCGACAGACACTATAAACAGCGGCAACACTGATAAAATAGCAAAACATATACATACACACTAAGCAACAGTAGCAGTAGCAGCAGCAGCAAAGTGAAAATAACCTCTTTACCACGTTTGTATGCAAAACTAATAAATAAACCCAACACTTCCACCCACCTTTTACACATACCACCATTTTTGTACGAACATACACATGTACGAAAACCTTTTAACATAACAAACACCTTTGGACAGAGTAGCCTTCCTTGCGTTAGTACTCACATGCAGTACTCACACAACTACGCACACGCAATTTCCACTTCACATCTTCATCTAACGAAATTATTATTCTATTGTTTCAGTATTTCGTCCATTCGTTCATTCGTCCATGGCATAAGATTAGTGGCTACAGTTTTCTTCAGTTTGCCTGTCATAGTGCTTAACATTTTCTGTCCCAAAAATCGTTGAAATCTTGTTGACATGTGTGTGCGTATGTTGTGCGTATGTGTAATTTGTTGCTGCTATGCTGTGTCTGTATTTGAAAACAAATTTAAATTTCCCCCATAAATTTATGCAAATATGCTTGTGTCTTCAACAACAACTTCAAGTTGGTAAGTTGGCAAGTTGGCCTAACAATAACAGCTGAGCAGACGACAGTGTGGAGTGTTTTTGTTTGTGACAAAATCCTTTAAGCCTATTTTGATAATAATATTTACGAAAACAAGCCGTGTGTGATTAGAACGAGGCCCGGTAAACACACACGAAAATTCCATTCAATTAATTACAATAAATTGTTCAACATATGTTCTAATATTAACAGAAATATTAGTGATAAAACCCTCGTAAGATTAGTTCAAATTTGCCTGGGCAACTTTTCATGGTTTTCCCTAATCAGCAGAATAAATATAATAATGTTAGACATGCAGAGCAGTAATTAAACTTAATAGTTTCCTTTTCTGATGTTTATTTTTTTTTGTTTTTGCTAATAATAAGAAAAACGATATTAAAATAGAAAAGAAAGAAATATAAATTAATTACAGCAGCTCATTTAATTTGCTTTACGCTAATTGAAAAAGACTAAGCAACATGTTGCTTACAACATGCTACGGTTTGTTGCTATAAAACAGCGCAACTTAGTTGCTTTACTACTGGCAGCGCAGCATATAAGTCCAGTGCATGATACACGATATGGCAGGAAACGCTTTTGAGTTAATGAATCATTCCAAAGAGTTAAGGTCTTGGGTGGTCAAAGTCTGCTTTGACAACAATTTAATAACTTTTTGCCCTGCGGTGCAAAAAAATTTAAGTGTCAAAATATTAAACGAAATTATTGTAAACGATTTGAAAGATTATAAATTGCAACCACAAATACTTCTTTAATTGTAAGATTAGCCAAGTACATTTTTTTTAAAAAATGTTTTAAAGCAAATTAATACAAATATAATTAGTTATGACAAATTATTTCTTATTTATACATTATTTAAATTTTCCATTAGTTTAGGGCTAGTAGTTACGTTAGAGTCGAAAACAATAGCATAAATTTTTGATTTTAATTAATAAAATAAAACGAAATATAATAAAATAAAATAAAATAAAAAAAAATAAAATAAAATAAAATAAAATAAAATAAAATAAAACAAAATAATATATAACGTGATGAAAATAAATAAAATAAAATAAAATAAAATAAAATAAAATATAATAAAATAAAATGAAATAAAATAAATAATAATATACTAAAATAAATAATAAAGTAATAAAGAATATAATAAAGTAAAATTAAATAAAATTAAATTTAATTAAATTAAATAAAATAAAGTAAAATGTGATAAAATAAAATAATAAAAAAAAATAATATAAAAATTAATAAAATTAAATAATATAAAATGTGATAAAACTAAAAATGTGATAAATAAAATATAATAAAAAAATAAAATAAAATAAATAATAATATAAAGATAAATAATATAATAATGTTTTCAAACAAACTAATAATGCCATCTAGTATTCCCTGTTGAGCATTCTTCTTCTCTTAAAGTATTAATTAATAGTTAGTAGTTATCAATTCATATTCCATAATATAGGGACCAGAACCTTCCCAGTTGATAATTGGAGTTTTTGTTCTATTAGGGACAATACTTACCTTAAATACTTAGCTTAAATACTTAGCTTAAATACAGAACTCAAATGCTGATTGCACCAGTTGCTGTTTCTTATGTGGATTTGGAGTATTATGATAGATTCTGTTGGTTGTTCTTCTTTTCTCAAGGTACTATGTTATGAATGATATTCAGGGCCCATTCCAAAATATTCAGTCCAAAATCTAACCAGTTAATATTTCCATTTTTGGCGACTCTAGGCAGTTTTCAAATGTTCCTGTTTACTACGCTGACTACCCATTTGACTATGGCGCACTATGATGGATCAAATATTTCCTCATTGTGATATATACATATATATCGTATAAAAAATGCAATCTATTGTATTAATTTATTTCCAAGCATCGTTCAGAATTATGAATACGGTTTTGAGTTTAAGTCACTTTTAGTAACTACTGCAATACTTTCGAGCACAACTTTAAATGATCATGATTTGTATTTCGTTCTGATATTTTTATGTAGTCAGTTATCTTCTCATACTCTAAACACTACTTTATGGTTTCTCAAAATGATTTTTGGATTCTTCTGATGTTTTTTAGGAAAACCACAGAATTAAGTGTATTGTTTTTTTATTGAAAATAAATCAATACGAATATTGTGATATTACAGTTTATTATCTTCAATTCTCTGACTAACATTATATGTTTGGATATGTGTGGAATTCAAGCTCATTACTTATTTCACCTAATTCTATTTGATTTTTTTCTGTTCCCGAAATTATCATTTCAAGAAAATTCTGTTTTATTCGATTGCAAAATAAATTCAGAAAAAATTCTGTAAAGAAATAAAAAGATCATAAGTCAATCATACGAAATATGTGTGGGCGGTTAGCTCTAGTGCCGAAATAATTGCAGGAGCTTCTTCGAGGTTGACAAACTCATTTCTCTTTACTTTTCTTCGGATGAACGTAATTATCAACGTAAATAATCAAGAGGTTGTAATCAAGAGGTAAATAACCAAGAGTTTATAATCATCAAAAGGTTGTGATTAGGAATAATTAGTACAGAATTAGACAAACATCATATTATAGGTAATATACTTCTGAACTCAGACGCATTATTGTGTATTAAGACTTTCCAAATCAATCAAACAAAATATCTCATGGGTATATGTAACCCACTTTAAACGGATATACTCTACAAAAGCACTTACGACTAATTAGTAGAGATTTAGATAAATATTTTTCATAGAAAATACACTTTTCAACTTTTTCTTCACAACTACACTTCTTTAAAAATAAGCTGAGACTAAATTTATTAACAGACGTCGAACCTTTAAAGGAAAATATCTTATTAGTATATGAAACCCATTTTCGAAGCATGTACTCTATAAAAGCGATTATGACTAATTAGTAGATAATTAGATAAATATTATTCCCCATATATACACTTCTCCAACTTCTTCTTCACTTCTTTAAAAGTAAGCTGAGACTAAATTTATTAACAGACTTCAAACCTTTTAAACAAAATATTTCATTTGCATGTGAAAACCCACTTAAGAGGGACGTAATCCATAAAACCCTTCCATTGTAAAGTGCACTTTCGATTACGAATTTTCCTTTGCATTTCACTGATTTGTCTTAATTCAAAAATTTGTCTCCGGAGCAAACAATGCCTCTTGTTGTTTTTTAATCTGATTGTCTGGCTCATTGTCCGTCTGCTCGTCTGTGTGCTCGTCTGTCTGTTCAGTGTCTGTTTGTTGTCGCTTTTGTTGCTTCGGTTGCTTTGGTTGCTTTGCTTTTGTTGTTGATTCATAATTTTGCCAGCGCATAATAATAAATTTAGTAGATTATTTGTCCAACGATTGCCGTACAAATAGTAGTAACCATAAGAGCTGTCGAGGATTTGTTGTGGCAGTGTACTCGTATTTTATGGCCAGACCACAATTGGTTAGACAATTGCAATGGTCATTGCAGGCCACATTTGGTAAAAGTAATGAAATCAATACACATTTTTCCCTATTTACACTGGCGGCTTATTTGCGTGACTCCGACGTAACGCTGAGTGTGGGGTTCAGTAGTAGTTGAGTATCAGCTCGGGATGTGAATGTGTAGTCTGAGTCGAAGTCGGAGTTGGAGTTGGAGCCCATGGGTATGAGTAACATGAATTGCAAATGTAAAATGCAGACTACAAAAATATTGCTATTGTTTTTCGGTTTGTCGATTTGTCCTGAGGCAGTTTTTACTACTTTGATTTATGGCCAAATGTTATTGAGTTGTAATTGCAACAAATTAATTGTTTAATAAAATTTAATTAATGTTTTGCGTAAGTTTGTAATAAATCGCATTGTTGTTGGTGTATGAGTTCATAGATAAAAAGTATCGATATTAAATGCAAAATAATAATAATAAAAACTCACATGAAATGTAATTTAATTTTATTATTATTTTTTACTTACAGGTTAATGGCGGAAGTTTGGCTGAACAGGCCGGTTTGCTGCCTGGCGATGCTGTTCTTAAAATAAATGACGTCGATGTTTTCAATCTACGTCACAAGGACGCTCAGGATATTGTCGTGCGTTCAGGCAATAATTTTGTGGTTACAGTTCAAAGGCAAGTATATGAGCACAGAGCATAAAAGTTGAATAGTGCAATAATTTTGTTGCCTTACAGGGGCGGCTCGACATGGCGTCCACATGTCACTCCAACCGGTCATGTACCACAACCAAACCAAAATTCACCATATTTACAGACAGTGACGAAAACTTCTCTAGCTCACAAACAACAGGAATCCCAACACATTGGCTGTGGCTACAACAATGCAGCGCGTCCATTTGTAAGTTTACCAAATGCAAACAAAGCAAACCTCTTTTTTCCAATTTTGTCCTTATTCAGAAAAAGGACGACTTTTCGGTAACAGTTTTGTGTTTAATTTTCGACATATCAGAGCATATCCTTAATGATATTTTTGTTGATTTTATAAAGTGTCAGAAATCCTTCATAGAGTGTGGCATTAAGTCTTTACCAGGATTTGCTTAAATGAACATTTAATTCTTAGGGAAATGAGCCCATCCTTCTTAGGAATATTTGGGAATATTTTATGTTTATAAACCCAACTTTGTGTACTGATGAATGTGTCTTATATGATGACGAATGATTGAAATATATGTGTTTCTGTTGCTGTCTGGTGAGGTTTAAACTTAAATTTGGCAGCATTTGCATTCATTGTTTGAAAACTGTCAAAATGAGTGATGAATATAAAATATACCAGAACCCAGCAGAGGATGTAGGCATATTTTGAACTTAATTGTTATGTCTGCCGGTCTATAATAGAATAAACAATATCATATTTAACGAGTCTCTATGATATGATTTGGGCTCAATCCTAAAAGAAACAAAATTGTGATGGAGAGTTTTTGAAAGGATTTAAATATTTATGAAGTTGATACCTAAACTTTGCTAAAAATAGATTAAAAATAAGATTTTAGGTAAATCCTTTTAAAAATAACATATTTAGTTACTTCTTCTTTTTTGTTATTCACGTGATCTTGCCGTTATTTAATGGTATTGTTTAGAAGCTAAAGTCTCTTTGAAATAAATCGAAAGACTATATTTATATTTAGTTGTATTTATTTAACAAAATAATTTTTTTTTAAATTAATGAAATTACCAGATGCGCCCCTCTTTCTTCCAAGGTGCATATGTACTAGATTACTATTAGTCTCCCGAGGGTAATACCGTCATTATAAATGTATTTACCACTATCCTGATTTCACTGACTTTAGTATCCTAACTTCGCGATTGAATGAAGGTCATTGGTTTATTTCAAGACTCTGACTAATTTTTTTCCTACGCTGTATGCAAATAAACCGTAGTGTTTTAAAAACCAGGCTTTAGCGTTAGATGTCACAGGACAATAACAACTAAAGGTCACTATTATAACATATTAATCGTCGTTTATCCAATAAAATTAAAAATTATATTCTGTAAAAGTGCTTACGAATAATAAGTAGAGATTTAGATAAGTATTATTTGTGGACAATACTATACTTGTCCAACTTCTTATTTACTTTTACACTTCTTCAAAAGTAAGCTAGATGGAGTGTGTATTTTCTTCCGATCGAAATTAATGTAAAACATGTACAATTGTGAACTCAATAGCTTGCGAACCAAACAATTTTGGAATGCAGTGCAGTGGAAAAAGTTGTACGAAGTGTAGGTAAATATTTATTAAAATCCATTACTATCTTCGCTATCATCCTTTTTTTATTCAATATGGATTTCTTGTCATAGGACGTGCAGTTCTTGATTGAAAAAATCCATTATTTAATAATTGAAATTATATTTTCCTAATTTATTTTTTTTGCTTTAATCAATAATCTTGAAAACCGATGCGAATACACAGCTGCAATCAGAATAATCCATTTTTTTAGATCACTTGTTTAGTGGCAAAGGTCTGGATAAGGATAGAAGCATACCAAACGTATTAGTAATGCACAATGATTTGTCGGTATTGTTGTAAAGTAGGGTATCAGAAATATACCGACGAAGACTTTATACAAAATTCTGGAATTTATTTCAATAAAAATGTTTGTGATTAGAACTGCTAGTATGTCTGTCTTCAAACTTAGTCCACTAAATTATGGGAGCATTTGGTTTAGAGCCACTTAAAAATTGTGAAACGGCTCGCAGTCGTTTTAATATATATCTCTCACATTGTTCTAATGACAGTGTTCTTTAAGAGATACGAAAACTTATTCCGTTTAAGAAAGAAGGAATTTCGTCTAGTCAAAAGTGAAGGGACAGTCTGGGGAGTACGGTCCTTGCATACTAGCTCTTTCAGTTCACAACACCGGACTATTGGAATATTTTCCATGCTGAAGTTCAAGCCAGTCATAAGGCAGCTAAGATGGTAAGGTAAAGCCTAATACCACATTGTTTAATACTCGTATGTTCGCACATGGTAAGATTAAGTTTCCCTTCGTAAGCTAATTAACGGCTTTTGTAGAAGCTTTCAGTATGAGGCCACGAATGACACACTTGAACTTCTTTTATTCACTTTCGAATACCCTCCATATAATAGGCCAAGTTTTCGGAAAAAGTTTACTTTGACAAATTGGCATATCTAGTCATTGTTGCCATAAAAAAACGTGACGTTCCTATCAGAAACCATAAATTCCCCTAAAAGGCAATATAATTTTCCTTATGGTATTGGGTTCTTTGACTATATAAGTCTTTTGTAATATCTTTTAAAATGGGGCTACCATAATGGCAACAATTTCCGTTATATCAATTAACTAGAGTTATTGATTTTTCAGACAGACAGAAAACAGAAAAACAGTTAGTGATTTAAGTCGCCGTTAAAGTAGGTCAAGAGTGTGAAGTGAACATTTATGATATATTACTTATTAGTTGTGAAGGAATTCATATAAACTTTTAAGGAGTTAAATCATTTTTTTTAGTATTCTGTTGATAAGTGTTCGAGCATTTCGGTATTTAAACTGCTCACTTGCATCCGAATTCGAACATTTCGTTCATATTTTTTTAATGTTCGAGCTATTCGAACGAAGCTGTTTTAGTTAGTCGGGTAGTTGGACATATACCAATGCGTATGACAGCAGATGCACAATATGATGTTTGAACATTTTTGTTTGCTTTGCTAAGAAAGCCTATACATTAATATACTTGAGTTTTTAATAATAAATTATTTCTTAACTTAATAAATTAATCTTATTTACTTCATATTTCATATATAAACTTTTTGGTATAGAACTGAGTTTAAATGTAAGCCAAGGTCTACAGTTAGAGTATTCCAGAGAGATAATTTCTATTTTATTTCCATTTCAGATAATGTGAAAAGTTTTGCATTTAATTTAATTTTATTTTATAATTACATTTCTTTGCCACTTGCCAGTTGAAATCCTAATTGAATAAAATTACATTTGACCACTGCATCAAGTCAATTCACACTTGTACAATTTTTATAAATAATTTTTTTTTCTTCTCAGAATTCCATATTGCGTTTTGCATATTTTACATTCTGTTTTTGCCTAACAAACTTTGCAAGTACAAACCTATTCCATTTGGTTATTTTAGGTCAACGGCGGTGATGGCAGCGTTAAGAGCATTGTCAATAAACAATACAACACCCCAGTTGGCATTTACAGCGATGAATCTATTGCGGAAACACTTTCGGCTCAGGCTGAAGTTTTGGCTGGCGGTGTCCTTGGGTAAGTGAGAATGAAAACATTTACTTTTAAGCATTTCACACAACTACGACACCGAATGTTGCTACAAAAACTGCACAGTAACTCAAAATATATAAAGTAAAAATAAATAAAAGTTGAAACAACGAATATAACAATAGCAGCAAATAGAAGAGTAGCTTTTTCACAATATTTTTTAAAAAAATTCCAGCGGTTTTTCATTGTTTCAAAGTAAAATAAAAGAAAACAACTGTAAACAAAACAAAGCAACATTTTTTTTTTGTTTTTTTGCCTTTTAAGTCCACATTTTTGTTTTCATTTTTATTTACATTTTCACAACTTTTAAAATGCCCTAGGAATACAATAAAATTCACTCGCTCTGCCCTGTTTTAGCCCTAAACGACTGGAGTCATGTGGCAAACTTGTAGCGGAACAATTTAGTGCAATTTTTTTAATGTTCCCACAATGAAACAGTTTCCTTACTTGCGTACTTCCATTCGAAACGCCACTGAACTAGTCCAAGTTTTGAGTAAATACTTATAAAGTTGAAAAGTTCAAATGTAGCTGCGCGTACGAAACCAGAAAAAGTGCACACTTTTAACTTAATTTCTTGAGGGAACTTTTTATCTACGCACTATTTTAAATTAGTTTTAATATTGTTTTTCCTTACTTCTGTGATTCATGTTTACAGTTCGAGTAAAATTTGTGTTAGTGTTATATGTCCTAATTAAGAGCATATTTATTTTAAATTCATTTTTTGCTTTTAAAGTGATAACATATCATATTTGCTAAAGAACAAATATGCAGTAGAAAAGTCTATAGAGGAAACTAAAGACTGTGTGGTGAACTAAATTAAGTTCATTAAGATTTTTAAAACTTAATTAATTCAAGATAAATTATTATTTTATCCTTGCATATTTTTATAAGTAACACATTACACAGTTAAACCCTTAAGGTATGCAAGAAGAGTAAATTTGTGTAAATAGTTCTGCTGATACCTTGTGCAAATCACACAGTAATTTACTGTTGCCTACTTTTTTGCGCAATGGATTATGCTATTCAGATAGACGCTTAGAAGTATGCAATACTATTTTACTTACGTATTTAAATCTTTTAATACTCTTATGCCGTATACCATACTCTTACCTATAAATTAATTTATTTTCAGTGTGAACTTCAAGAAAAACGAAAAGGAATATCAAGCCGATAAATCTGAAGTCTTGAAATTCTTACGTGAAGAGGAGACTGGACAATCTACACCAGGTAATATCGAACACTATCTCGTTTTGGCCGAATTACTCTTTGCGTTGAATGGTGGCAATAACATATTTCAAGTAGATGTGCTAGGAGATTAATTTAGACATTTTTATCGCTTAGGTATTTTACGCTATATTAAGAATTATTGCAGCGATTAAGAGGAAATTATTTGAGCATTTGCCAACTAGTATATTTAGATAAATAATTTGAACAATTCTAAGTATAAATAGCTTATAAAATAAATGTGTATGTAGAACATGTAAGAGTTTTTAAAAAGCAGGGAAAAGACCTTGAAATGTCGCAACTGTTACATGTTTGAATGTGAATGATAATATATAACAGATATAAGCAGATATGGAAAATGAATTTATAAGCTATACTTCAGAGTTTAGTAAATACTACGATAGTGATATTTTCAGAGGTCATGAAATATATTTTTAAAAATAGTTACGAGAAGTTGATCTTAACAAAACAAAATAGTTAATGACTGTGATGATTTTAAGAATTTTTTGTAAATGAAATAATGATATAACAATAAGACATGACTATTTATACTAATAACAGATTCAGATGTTGAAAAGATTGAAATAAAAAATTTTATTATATATTATGAATACTTGTAATCAAATGGAACACAGCTATGATTTAAATTTTAATAAAATTTGAATTCCCTTATAATAATTTGACCTGATCATTAGGTGTGAAATATCGTGTCTCCACCGAACGAACATCTTAGAGTACTAGTTTATTTTAAAATAATTTTTAGTGGGTTACCAGTATATAGCTAACATTAGCCGGTTAATCTACATTCTTTAAAAAAATTTTTCACAGCTTTGAATTGAAATTTTTGTTATTTATTAAAAAAATATATCGGCTAAGTACCGGTTTTTTCTTCCGTAAAAACATAGTGTTCTTTGAATTTTCGGGTAATTCACATTTCACATTTTTACGCAATTATTTTTTTAATTCAGTAATTAATTAATAGAAATTGATCCGTGGTTAAATCGTTTTCAGTTAAATCGTTTCCGGTTTTCGTTTCCGGAAATACATCAGTTTTTGCGGGATTCCGGTGAATGGTGTTATTTTAATAGCAAACAACATATCGGCTAATCTATATAACACCTCTTCAAATATTATGTCTTGTATAAATTATTAACTAATAAAAATTTGGCAGTAGTTCCAAAAAAAAAAATATATATCCGTTCGATTCCATTTTTTATTCCAATAAAATTATCGTTTTTTTTCACACTGTTTTATATTGAATCGGTGCTCCGAAATTAATATTTAGGTTATTATAATGCAAACTTCTAATCACAAACAGAAGTATCTTTTCTATTATCTTATTAAAATAGTTGCAATTTATCAAATTTCTCTATTAGGCTAATGAATGGTTAATTCTTTTTTAATTAAATTTCAAGTTTTTGTTATAAAAGTTATTGTAATAGCAACAAAAGCGCTTATATTATTAATTTAGAATATCTTTAATTTTCTTAAAATGTTTTTTGTTTTGTTGAAATTTAACCTTTTCTTTCTTTATTGTTTCATATTTTCATTATTTAAAAAATTTCATTAACAAAACATCAACAAACAACAAACAATGAACACTTCACACTTAAATAAACTGAACGGAACACAGTTTTCAACAATCATCAGTACCAAGAACCACAACAACAACAAACACCACCACAACACTATCAACAACCACCACCACCACAACAACAACAACATTACAATCAACCTTCAGCTACCAGACATGTTAGTGCCCCAATAAATACACCAAAGCCTCCAAGCACTGGTGGATTGCCAACAGGTCAAAACATTTGCAATGATTGCGAACGTCTCATAACGTAAGTGAAACAACTACTTAAAGTACTAAAATTTTAGTACTAATCACAACTTTTAGTACTAATTTAGTACAAGTTACTAACACAACTAAATATGAAAATACTATATAATATACTTCCACTTTACATTGAAACATTATCTCATTCATTTATCAACCAAAATTTTCTGAAGTACTAAATGCACTTATATATTTACATACTATACATACACATGTAATGAGTACTAAAATACCAAATAACATATAAATTTGCATTAAATTGTATATTCGAAGCTATTATTATTAGTAGGCAGTTACTAATTAGGTGCTACCACTGTAGGTGCATAATAATAAAGAAATAATAATATTGGCATTAATATTAAATTATTTACTAACGAGATTTGCTTTTGTGGTTCATAAAATTTTCAACTTCCGTCGCCAACCGCAAATGAAATCGAATATTAAAAAAACTCTTGAATGAAAACAACGAACAATCAACAACAATGCAATTAAACGTAACGTAACGAAACAGAGCCACATAGTCCAGCCAATTTCTATTGGACTCACAGTCATGCCATTGGCGGTAATGAACGCCGCTCCACCCGCGAAACAGTTCAACAGGAGCAGGTGCAGAAGACGACCGAGAAACGTGTAAGTACTTCGCTGGTGCAGAGTAAGGTGGCGAGCTCGTCAACTGCAACAACCGTTTCAGCCTCCAATGTCAGTTCGGCTGCGGCAGTTGCACCTGCTACAGTTGCAACTCCGTCCGAAAAGCCCGATCCACGCATTATTATGATGCCGGTGTGTCCGGCTTTGCAGGGACCGGAATACAAGGCGGAAATGGAAGCAGCCGCTGCAGCTTTGGCACATGACGATGGCCAAAGACCATTGTCCGCAAGCGGACATCCGGCCTGTCAGTTGTGCGGTGTTGGAATTGTGTAAGGATACGTTAATGTGTTTGTAAAATTAGTGTGTGCGTGTGTGTTTATGTGCATGTAAAAGTGCATTATATGAATGCAAATGTGCAAAAATAATAAAAAATTATTATGAAATAATAATAAAAAAGAAAATGTTGCAAGGATATATATAAAAAATTAAGCAAATAATTCGCTTTTATGCGCGAATTCATATTCAATTGTCCTCCGACCGGCGTCATACTCATGATTTTGGCCACATTATCATTTAAATTGGATTCGTTTGTAACAATTTATTCCAGAACATCTACTCACATACATACCTACTTGCACTTGTATATATGTTTTTTCCGCATGTGAATTTATCAGTCATAATTTTGAATTTTATTGTTTATGGGCAACAATTGTAAACACGGCCTGCAGGCATAAAATTTTATTAAATATGCGTTGCGATGCAGTCGGAAAAAAAATAATATTAAATTTATGAAAAAAATGAATTAAAAAAATTTGTATTACATTTTCAGCAAAAACTGCATTTAATTAATTTAAATTTTCTTCTATGCATAAAAATATAAATTCAATTTATTTTTTATTGCATAAAAGTGTTGTATTAAATTTGTTAAACAAAAGTTTGTATTTAAATTTATTCATGCGAAATTTGAATGATTTAATATATATAGAAAATATAATGCAAAAAAACACAACCATTTTTTTTATAATTCATATTAATTTATTGCCTAAAAATGAATTATACACCATAAGTAAATTATATTATAACATATGTATATATGGATACTGCATACGCAACATTTAGAATTTGTTTATAAACATTTTTACAAAAATTGTTAATTGAAATTTAACAATTATAAAAAATAACTATAATTAATTAATTATTCTATAGTTGGTTTAGGATTTTCGTTAATTTGTTAATGAACTTTCACAGCAAATGAACAAAACTCCAAATTCGAACATAACATACAAGTGAAGTACGGCTTTGAGCCATTTGTTCAATGAACACTGACTCTGAACTTCAAATTTGGCAGGGTACGAGTTCAACCATTTGTACTTGCAGTCGTAAAAAAATTAGTTACGAATTATTAAATATAAAAAATAATACCAAGACCACTGATGATGGGTATTTGGCAATACTCGAAACAGCTGTATGGTCAGCCAAAAATTCAATTAATTAAAAATAATAAAAACTTTGTTGTTACAATTTCACTACTGTTGAATAAAAACCTCCCTATTGAAAATAATAGTTTATTTTTAAAATTTAGTTTCTTTCGTTAAAACCGGACGATAGAATCAATTTAACAAACCCTTTTATAAATATAAATTATTTAATACGAATTAATTCACTAAAAGTTCCATAGACTTTTAGTGAAGATCCTGTATCTCAGTTAATATTTCAGAAGCGCATGTGCTTTCCATACGATATTTTTAGTTTCGTGAAAGGAGTAATTATCTTAAGCATTAATGCTACTTTGTAGGAAACATTTAATACATATATATAACATATTCAGCAGAGTAATTCAAAAAAAAAAAAAATAAATATAAAAAACTCAAGGGACTAAGTTATACACCCAATAATAATTTAACTTAAGTGATACTTCATTACAGCCCAAAGCAATGTCCCTCAAAAATATAAAATCAATAAAAGATACTTATTTCTAGATTTTGCTTATGATAAAACAGATTTGCATAGCATGATATGATGTTGATTTGTTACTGGTGTTTAAATGGTATGAACATACAAGTGGTTAGTATTTAGCAGGATCACTAAACGCAATTCAAACGTACCAGAAGAAAAAAAAAAGCTCAATAAAATGGCTTAGAAATTTTGAGATTTCTAGTAGCATTGACGAAAGCAAACGCTTGATGTCTTAAACGATAAGTTTCTATAGGCGATACTATTCGATATGCGATATGATATAATAAGTGATACGATCCAATAAGGGACACGATTCGATGAGCGATACGATGTTGTTGATTCTTTACATCTCAGAGCGCAAATGTGTGGACAATATCTACTGTCTTATAAATTTGCATTAAGGTAGGATTAAGACCGTCCTAATCTCAGGGACTATGGGTATACACATATCTTAACACAGACCCGACCGTAACTGCATACGCAATGATTGTATCCAGCTACTATGTATCCGCTACTACTAAAAAATTGCAGATCCAGACTAATATAAGTATTGCTTTGGCTGAAGGTCAATTTCTTGCTGCGTTTATTAACTGAATAGATATCGAAATATTGGATCGGTCGTTTCACATGTTATAATAACATAATAACCATTGAGAGTTACATTGTCCGTGCTTTTTTTTTCACGAATACACTTTTTTCACGAATACTCTCACAATAATTTATTATTCTGTGATAGAATTAATGGTTCCTTAAACACAATGTTGCCCATAGCAGTAAACCTCATTTGTATATATATAATTATCTTTCACATAATCTTTCGCCTTTTCAATAAGTTAACTCAACATCTACTAATACAATGACAATTTCATATCTGCATTAATATTAATTAATAATTTAAAGTTTTCTATTTACATTATTATTTATATTTACTTAATGATATTAACATTTAAATATTTTCACAGCGGTGTCTTTGTACGCATTAAGGACAAGAATCTTCATGTTGAATGTTTCAAGTGTGCCACATGTGGCACTTCCTTGAAGAATCAAGGTTACTACAACTTCAACAATAAACTCTATTGCGATATCCACGCTAAGTTGGCGGCTATGCAAAATCCCCCAGCAGGTACCGAGGGTTATGTTCCAGTACCAATCAAACCGTAAGTATATATGAATAATCTTTAATAAGTTAAAAATTATAAAATTATTTTTATTAATCAGTAAGTCTTATCGGAACAAACCTAAAGATGAAATTGACTTAATAAAGAGATATTCTTATATATTATATATATAACTTTTGATGCCGTTACTTTAAGACTACTTGACTTAATAATAGTGAAGACATTAGGAAATAATTATAGTAGAAGTTCAAACACTAAAAACGAAAAAACGAATGATGGAATCCTCTTGCCATATATGTAGTCTGCTGCAGACTGCTGCATATGATGTAAATTAGGATATTGAAATAATACAAGCAATCCCCAGCTTTAAGAGGCATAACTCTCAATAGAGTCACATTAAAAATTTTCTAATAATACAGCAGAGAAACTGTAATTTCTCGCAAATGGGATGAGATGATGGAATCCTCTTTACAATTAATTGCCTCACTCTCTTAGTACATACGTAGTTAATAGGACTACAGCAAATATTTTTGACAAAAAAATAGAGAATCAGTAAGACCTCACAATAATGATCATTTGCCAATTCGTGGCAACTAGAGACCTCAGTCTTAGGAACATAACTAGTTCTTAATAGCATCACTGCAAGTTTCTCTGATAACAAGAAAGTGAAACAGAGAGGGGTCGTAGTTACAAAAAGATGATGAATGGAGTAATGGAATCTTCTTAGCCACTAACCACTTCATTCTTTAAGTACATATGTAGTTAATAGCACTGCAGCAAATATTTTTTGACAATAAGACAGAAAATCAGTAAGACCTCACAATAGTGATTAGACAATGAATTGAATAATGAAATCGTCTTGGCAACTAGAGAACTCAGTCTTAAGAACATAAGTAGTTCTTAATAGGATCACTGCAAATTTTTCTGATGACAAGAAAGTGAAACAGGAAGGGGTCGTAGTTACAAAAAGATGATGAAAAAAGTGATGGAATCCTCTCACCAACTAACCACCTCACTTTCTAAGTATGTTATATACGTAGTTAATAACGGTGATTATTTCACAATAAGTTAGAGAATCAATAAAACCTTGCAATGGTGACACGACAAGGAAAAGATGATATGATCCTTTTAGAAACACACCCAAAAACGTATGTAGTCCTTAATAAGATTTCAGCTTTATGAAATATATATTATCAATATCATTAGTCTACGCTTGCTGTTGGTATCAACCAGTTTAACCCAATAGCAGTTAACTCAAGTGTTCTACAAAATAGATGTCAAAGCTTGTTCTTAGTCCACACATATTTCAGTACAAAATTAAATACTCAATTATTGTAGTATTGTACCCATTAAGTATGTATATTGCATTAATTATTGACAATTATTTTTGCTCCTTCGGTGAGATGTAATTATGCGTTTGTCTCGCAATTTGTCCATTTTACATGAGGCATTGATGCAACAGTAATTCTTGCAATTGCTGGAATCAAATTAATTAAATTAATTTTTAAAACATTTCGGGCTTTATCGACAATTTATTACACATATTGTTTTAATAAATCAAATGAGAGGCATTTTCGAAGGAGTAATTTATATAATTTATGGTGTTTTTCAATAAATATTGGCAGTTGAAATAAAAATTCGATTTTATTTAATTATTTCCATTGAGAGCGTCAATATGCTGCGCCACCGCTGCGCCACCGCTGCTGTTGTCATGATATGTCAATGCTGTTATTTACATGCCTCGTCACGGCCGCGGCGTTGGCAACAAAGCTGCACGCCTCATTGCCTCTGCAAATGTGCGTTAAGGTTGACAAAGTGGAATGGCAACATTTGTTTACATGCAAACAAAGAAAGGTTGATTGGCAATGCAGAGGAGGCGATGCAATAAACTTACACGCACATAAATATTTTGACTTATAGCCGCTTATTTGCATTTGCAATTGGCAAAAAAAATTAAATTTTAATATTTGTAATTGGCAATTACATTGGCTGATGATGGTGGCCATAATGTTACTGTATGTAATGATTATGAGGATGATGATTATGTCGATGATAGTTGAAATTAAAATTGCAGTTGGAGTGTAAATGTGTTGACGTGAAATTTTATTAACATGTAACTGAATTTTTTTTTTTATAATGATTTCAAATCATATGATAGGTTGGATAAAAAGTATTCGGCGTTTTATGCTCATGATTGGAAACATTTTAATTATGAAAAACTCACTAATATTCTTTCCATCATTCGTTCTTTCCACTGCGATCATTATTGTGTTAGTGAGATTACAGTCTAGACATTAAAACAAACAATAATTTGATGATGTGATGTCAAAACTATACACATAATGGAAATTTTGATGAGCATCCCACTAGAAGTATGTTAATTTATTCTGAGACACCAATAATATGTCGAGCTTGCCATTGCCTAATTTATAACAGCTTGAAGTATCAATACAGAACACTGGAAAATGAGATAATATGAAGCTATGCTGGGCACGCAATGTCAAAAGTTTTGTAGATTTTTCTGCCGCTCCACGATGTTTGACATCCTAACATCTATTGTATTAATGTCCACACTCTTATCCAGCTCCAGGTTATCTACCTACCTATCGAAATGACTATAAGAATATAAATAATGAAGGCAAAATGGATTTTAAGTGAAATGAAAGTTTCATCAAAAATAATTTTTTTAAAAGTACTCGTGTGATGCATAAACAGTGTTGATAACAAGGTGCAAGAGCTGTAGGGGCCAAGAGAAATTATATACTTTCTTTATAAGTCTCAAACATAAATCTTGCAAGAAATATCTATTTTATTTATTTGTTAATAAAAGGGTACTTATGCGCTACTTCGTCGAAAATCTTGTAGATCGTATTTTCTGACGCTCAATGAGGAGACACCAGAATATCTGTTGTATTACTGCCGGGGTTATCCATATTCAAACCTAAGCTTCTCGGCACCCCATGCTTCAACTGATTCAGTTATATATGTAGCATTAAAATTAATTAAATACTTACAGTCGTTAATATATCTAAGGCTGACTGAGACTGATTTGCTCAACCTGACTGAGACTGATTTGCTCAACCTTATGTCGAAAATTACACGATTGTGGGATCCAAACAGTATACCTAGCTAATACAATAGGTTTCGACCTTCCTTCACTTCACCTTCCTACTCTAAACTGTCAAAATGATTTTGACAACAATTCACATATGCACTATTTGGACAGAAGAAAAAGCTATGCCGCCATTTAAAAAAGCATAGCATGCAATATAAATCTGGGCTTAAATCATCTAAAGATCTGGTCTAAAAACACACTTTAAGAATTCTTGAAAAAATGATTGATGGCTCTTTCTTTTGGTTCTTTATCAGATCATTTTGGTACAAAAATGTTTGGTGCTTTTTTTGTGACTTTTAAGTATTTCTAAAATTCACAAAAATATCTACTACTGATTCCATTATATATGGAGACCTAACTTTGTCTGATATCGCTACGGAACAATTGGTCTATGTATGGCTTACTATCAGCCATATTAAACTAAGCTATCTCTTCTATTTTTTGTATAAAATATTTATCAGTTTCTATCTGTCACTACTTAAGTACGCACAGTACGGTTCATGTAGATTATAACTAGAGATTACAAATCTGCTTTCAAATCTCACCGATGTTTGTTGTAAAAAGACGGTTTAAGAAGTCTTTCAAAATTCTTGGTGGCTTTATTTTAGGAAGGAGCTTTAAGTACTTCTTAAACTTACTAAAATGTCCAGTTCAGGTTCTACATACATAAAGGTTTAAGTCTACCTGATATTGCTAAGAACCTATGGATAGACCCATAGGTATCTCACTGGCGAATTTCAGCCAATGAGTTTAAATTGAGTTATCCTGTGCAATTCGTTATGAAATGCAACAAGAGCAGTGTTAGATTTAGTTTATTTAGTATTTTGTGTTATTCTTTAATTTTCTCAAACGAAAATTTTTAATTTTATTAAATCAACTTCACATATTTGCAGCAACACCAAACTGAGTGCCACCACCATTTCATCTGCTCTGAATGCACATGGATTCAATGGTGTGTCCAATGGCAGCTCAACTCCAACTCCGGCACCAGCTCCAGCACCGGTAAGTAAACTTTGTACACTTAACCCAATATGAATGGAATATTTTATACTAACAGAATATTGTATAATACCAACCGAGCAAACACACACTAACACAAGCAAAAGTGCACACGCATACCAATGCAAACGAATTTGTTAACACTGGCAAAAGATATTCCGAAATGAATTCATTTTATATCAAAATGAACACCTGAAGCTCGTATTTAAATAAGAAACAAAGGGAAAAACAGTAAAACAGAAAAACAGAAAACAGAAAATGAATAATGAACGAAGGCTGGCTTTGATAAACATTTTGAAAACGTGGCTTTTTAGTAGATTTTTGGGCAAATATTTTTATTAAAATTTACGAGAAAAAATTGCTTTTTGAAATGAAACGATAATATTTGTTGCTGCAACATGCAAGGCAATGCAGAAATGTTTACAGAAAGAACAGAAAGAATAGCAGCACAGAAAATGTAATAAATACGTTTTAAATAAGGGCTTTGGCTGTAAAGTGTCTTTGCTTTGTGTAAGCATTTTTCCATAAGTGTGTGTGTATTTTTATTTAATTGTGTGTTTGTTTATACAAATAATTTGTATTTTGTTGCTATGTTGTTTTCGTTTTTTTTTTTTTTTGTTAATATTCCAGTTGAATGCGCTTAAAATACTGCAAGCCATGGCTCACATGTTGCTTAAAGCCATTTATGCTATATGAAAATATGTTAAAAAAGGCATATAAAAAAATTTTTTTTATAATTTTACAAATATTTTTAAGAAATATATAAAAGAATATTTAAAGGAATATTTAAAAGAATATTTAAAAATATATTTAAAAAATATTTAAAAGCATATTTCTAAAAATTTAAAAAATATATTTAAAAATATATTTAAAAAATATTTTAAAAATATTTAAAAAAAAATTTAAATAAAAAAATTTAAAAATATTTTAAGAATACTCAAAAAAATATTTAAATAATATTTAAAAAAATTTAAAATATACTTATTACATTTAAAAAAATTTTTAAATAATATTTAAAGAAACATTTTAAAAAAATATTTAAAAACCTGGTTGTTATTATATTAAAAATTTATAGTAATTAATTATGCTTTTACATTTAATAATTTTGTCTTTGATATTTGGAGTAAACAAAATGTTTAGCCACTAATGACGCCAGCAACATTTTGTAAATGTTGCTGGTGTTTATTTTGGTTGCTAAGAAATTTGCTGTAAACATTGTGTCTAATGTAAAAATAGTGTGAAAAAGTTTATTTTCGATTATTTGCTTATTTTGTTGGCACATTTTATTTGATTACAAAAATAAATTTGTTTATGTACAAGAGAGATATTTTTGCCAATATTTTTAAAAAAGTAGTTCGAACTGCAAGAATTTTGTGTAATGAAAAGATTTTGTATTATGCCAATTGCTCAGATCAACATAAGCAGTGCTGTTTGGTACAATCAATAACAGGGCGCAATACTAAAAACACTGCATCTCGATCATTAGTCGCCCCTTGATATTTGTTGCTATCTGCAATTGTAAATATATTGAAATTTACGCCATAGGTGTAGTCAAGAAGCGGAGAGAAGGTTTAATTTGAAGAGTTTTTGTTGATAAAAACTGATGAGAAATATAAATATAGAAATCTATACCTTTTATTATATAGTTTATTGAAAAATTAATTAATTATCGAAAAGGCAATATAGTCTGTCCGCCAAATTCTACACTAATGCATGTAAAAAACTTGAGTACAAACGATTTTCTTAACCAACCCATAGTAGTGGCTTGTTATCTTAATCCTGGTTTACCTTAATTTAAATCTCACTCAATCACTTATCCATTCATATTCCCAAATAATTCGTTTTCTTCCCATACTACTTTAACCATGTACACGTCTTTATAATTCCTTTCCCGTTATCTGATTTATAGATCCAGGTTACAATCACAACACCAACTGTTTGTCAATGATTGTAATCGATCTATCAAATCTAAGGAAGATTGTTTTATTCAACCATGAGAGATCTTTTTGCCATAATATATAACTTCCGGCACACTTTAAGGTGGGCACCCTCTACGCTCCCCCTAACTACACCCATGAATTCCGCGACTTTGCTTTTTAATAGCATAAAAAATGATGTCTCATTGTGGACTCGTATTCCATTTCTTTGCAATCGTGCAAATTTTTTATGTTTTTTAGTTGTATTAAATTGTATTTTTAAGTATTTATTTTTTACTATTTGAAATAAATAAATACATATAGGAAAATAAAAATACTAAACTATGCAATTACTCACATAAAAAACTGCATCTTTGCAGTCGCACTACAAAAATACTTACGTTGCACTTTTCGGGCAAATAAAACCTTTTTTGCTAAATCCAAATTTTTGCGATTTTTCGGTTAGTCTGAATTTAACGTGTTCGGATGGTGTCCGTCATAGCGGACACTAAAGCGAATTGTGACTTAATTTATATATAAAAATAATTAATAATATATTAAGTGTTCTGACACAGAAAAAAACAAAAAAAAAACAATGAAATAGTCGCAAGAAAATAAAAATATTCGAAAAGTGAAATTTTATTATGAATTTGAATTGAAAAACGGAAAACATTAAGAGAACTCGAAATATCCTTAAACGAACCAATATTCTATAACCTAAAAAAAAAAGTTTAAAGTATATTCTACAAACACTGACGAAGAATTATATAATAACTTTCTGAAAAAAAAAACTTTTAAAAAAATCCTTTTTTAAACAATTTTTGGAATACTCTTAACAAATTTTTTAAAAATAAATTTTAATTTCTTAAAAAAATTGATACCAGCAATAATTTTTTGTTTTGTAATCCCATAAATAAATATATTGACCTTGACCTATAACATTAACTCTGCTGGCATAGTTGGGAATTTCCTATTTTTGTAAATTTTTCACCTATAATTAGGTTTTATATATATATAAATTATTTTTAAATTTGTCGCACATAATAATAATGGTAAAACAAATTTATGTCTTATGAATTATAATTTATTGAATTATAAAATCAATCAATTGCTTTTTCATATATTAGAAATGTAGATATAACCACAACTCCTACTATGAATAATTTTAGATGATTGAAAGGGCGCATAACCCATAAGAAGAACAAACGAAACGGTCCCATAATAGAAGTTGAAAAAATTTTTCTCAGATTAGCAAGCCCGCTTATAATAAATCGATAAACCGATTAGGTCGATGCAAACACAATAATTCGTCCTCTCTCTATCTCTCTCCCTCTCTTTCTCTCGTTAGTTGTGAGCTTGTGATTCATATAAATTAATTAACATTTGCCTTTCTAAGTTGCTCAAGTTTACCATAAACAACTCTCATATGCCGATGACGTGAGCATAAGATTTCACTGCGACCGGAAGAACTGTAACTGCATACCTAGCCCTGACAATCGTTTTCCCCTACACCTATTTTATACTTATATTTCATTAAAAGATTCATATGAACAAAAATTTCAAAATAATTTATTGCGTTATCCAGCAAACATAATTACAAAAAAATTAAAAAAAAAGAGAAGCCATACTTTGCTTCAGATAGAAGTCCACAGTCTTTCTGTTGTAAATAGAGTAAAGTATGCCTATGGTTCAAGCTTAGGTTACGTATATGGCAGATTTCCCGTAAATTGCAAACAAATCCTTTTTCTTCAGTTATAAAAAAGATTAAAAATAATAGTAAATATAAAAAGTTTCAGTGACAAAAACGTCAATTTCAAAACAACTAGGTAAATATGCCCATCGGATAGCATATTTTATATATCAAATAGAGGTTCATTATAATTGGGATCAGCTATTTCATTTGGATTTGTATAAAGTTCGTCATACTGAACAATTTTTTCGACTTTAGTTTGAATTTCAAGTCCCTAAACAATTTCAATATATATACAAAAAACAAAATTATGAATATAATATATAATTATTATAAGGTTTCCAAATCTACGAAGAACACAGTACATATTATATCTCAACTTAAATTAGTCTCTCAATCTCCTATATATTCTGAAATAATTTATCTGCAAGCCATTTAGTCTTGGATATTATGGCATATGTTAAATTCATCAACAGTGATAAGGAGTGGTATATAAAAGTGGAGCTTTTGAATTCAACCCTACCAAGGTTATATATACCCTAACATTGACATCTTGAAGATGATTCATTTGAGAATATCAAAACACTTGGGACAGTTTTATACTTAATTTAGGAGATTTGTTTCAATTTAATGCTTTCATTTTTAGTATAAAAAGCCTTAAAAAAATCTCACCTCCCTTAAGCGAATCACCGCCTCTGGCGACAGTTTTGTATCTATTCCATTGCTTAAAGGGAAGAAGTGGAATTTTTTATGAAAAGTATGACGGGGATTTACGGGAGGTTATTCAAACGAAAAAAGTTCAGAAAGTTGTTTAAAGAAAGTTTGTTGCAGACACGAAACCATTGTATGATTCTAGTATCATTCTAGTTTTTTACAGGAAAGTTTTATGAAATATTTGAAAAATACTTGAAGGAGGGGAATTTGGGGGCGATACATAAAGCAAAAATGTTTATTATTAACCATTTTTTTTATTAAACATAACCTAACCCTTTATTGCTAAAAACATTAAACTCTAAAAAAGAGGTGGGTTCCATATTCAAGTTTGGTAGATTTGATGGATGTCAATTAAGGCTATGGAGTTTGTATGTAGTTTATAGAACTGAACTTATTCATTCCAATAATATTTCTGATAAAACCATACTGCAAAATATTTATGATGATTTGCGAAAAACAGGTGTTAATGCCTAATACTATAATTTCTAAAAAAAAAACTGAAGCCAAAAACAAATTTTTTTTTGTACTAAAAATAAAAAAAAAATAATTCTTTTTGTACTAAAAAAAAAAAAAAATTTTGAATTTTATAATAAAATCGAATCAAACAATATTAACACTGCCAAATAATTATCACAAATAATTATTTGTTCAAATAAATATCACAACACAGTATTTACAGTAAATTTTTTTTAAATATTAATTACTTTTAATTAAGCAAATTATATTTTTATTTATTTAATTAATTTAATTTAATTTTTTTTTAATGCACTCGCTAATGTTTTTGAATGCGCCCTGCGTTTGCCTCCTAACATAATGCAATTACTAACTCAAAATCGCCCACGCAACAGCAAGAGGATACCGCCGATTATTCTCTACCCCCACCACCCTCACCAACACAATTACAACAATTTGAAAATGATAGCCAATTCTATGCCAACAATCAAAATAATCACACACATACACACAGCAGTCTGTCATCGCTTTCGTCGGCTTCTTCACTTACCTCGTCAATGTCGTCCCCTACACCTGACAATTACATTGCCTCATTACCCCCACCGCCTCCACCAATGCCAATGGATCAAAATGAAGCCAATTTGTATATAAGCGCAAACAAAATTCATGACCACAATGGCAACAGTAAAATGTTGCAGCAAAACGAGAACGACATGAATACATACAATAAGAATGTTGCTGGCTTACATGCACCCACAAATACGGTGTATAATAAATTTTTGAAAGAGTATTCCAATAAATTGTTGTCACAAGCAAACACAAATAACAATAACAACCATATTAATAATAGTAATAATAGTATTAATTCAACAGCAACACAAAATAACAACAAGAATAACATTAATCACACAAATATTTTGAATAACAACGACAATAACTTGTTTAACGGCACCGCCAAGCCATACACAACCACACATACACCCGCGTCATCAACAACGAATGTTGCTGCAGTATCAGCAGCGCTTGCTAATCAATTGAAATTTAATCCATGTCAGGTTGCAAATCCTTTAGCAACAACAGCAGCAAATACAGTAGCTCAAGCACCGATTGCGGAAATTATTAAACAAGACAACACCACAGCGAATATGGCAGCGACTTTTGAGAATAATGATCAATCGATTTACGGGCAGATCAATACCAATGCCGCGAATATAGCTCAGCCGTCGTTTTCTGCATCAGGTGATCAACCATTCGAATATGTCACACTGACTGGGAATGTGATTCGTAGTGTAGTGCCGCCTGGTAAGGGTGGAAGCATCAACTATAAGGTAAGTTCAAGATCAGGCCAAAAGCTTCAATGCAATTGATAGCAAGTACGAACAAAATAAACTGAGTCCAAGCACAGCATGTTGTTGTTGAATATGTCAATTTGTTGTTAACTAATAATAACAAAAAACTATTGCGCAAATGTTTATAAACATTTGTGAACAGCAAACAAATGTTTATAGACATTTTAGTCAATGCATAACTTGAAATACGAAATAGGTTTTAATGTATTGTGTTTTTTCTTTTGTTTTTTGAATTAAAGGTTAATCAAGGTTATGCACGTCCATTCGGTGCTGCCCCACCATCAGCTGCACCAAAGTCTCCAATCTCTTATCCACCCCAACCCCAACAATGGGCTTCACCACCGCAACAACAGGCACCAAAACCCGCTAGCAATCCTTATGCTACTTTGCCTAGATCCAATGTTGGACAACAAGGTAAGGATGACGATGATTACTTAATTGAAAGTGATTGGGTTTAACGTATATCCATTATTAACAAAATACAAGAGAATAGTGATATATATTTATACTTATTAGTGTTTTAATTGATGTATTGAAAGTAGCAGCAGTGATATTAAATAATTTTATTGTTTGCGTAAAACTGCTACTTTTACATGCAATATTCAATATATACTATATAACTTTTATAATTATTTACCACATGTTTTTATACATATGTGTATATAAATTACAATATATTTATGTATAAATATTTGAAATAAATTTAAGTTTTTAAATTTTAACAAAAAAGAAAACGAAGCAAATTTTTGTTGCAAGCAAAATTTACTAAAAACTTTTTCGATTACAAAAACAAAAACTCAATTCCGGCAATGCTTCATATTACTAACCAGCCTAAGTGTATGCAACAAAATTTAAAATAAAAGCGAACAATATTTGCGTTCACCATTTGTCCAACATAAATACTTTTATTCCGTGTAAATTGTATGTTTTATGCAAATTGTATAAATGCTAAACCCAAAACAAATTTATACATACAACACACAACACAACAATAATAGTTTTTATGTACGTGATTAAGAACAAAAAATATAAAAAAATATATAAAAATATATATAAAAAATATGTACGCCAAGAACAAATGAAACAATTAAAATGCAATTTGTAGGTCGCAGTGTACATTCGTACAACAATTACAGCAACAAAAATTATACACAACAATTCAGAAAGTCCCCCGGACCCAATAAGTACTCCACTTTGCCTTCGTACAATTCTTCTCATTACAACAATAACAGCATCGGCAACTATAACAACTACAATCGAGGTAAAAGCCTAGACCAAAAGCTAGCATAGTTAAAGGCTTTTAAGCGCGGTTTGGCGTTTTTTATCAAAAACGTTTCTCAGCTGCAAGTTTTACTAAAACTGTTTGAATTTATTACTGCGAAGACATAACGTAGGCATTTTTGAAAAAAAAAAATTCGCTCAGCGTTGTTTTTGATAATTTTTTAACAATTATTTATAGCACAAATAACGTTTTGCTATAGCAAACCAAATAAAACCTTCAATCACATTTAAACGATAACAGAAAAATATTTATGAAATTATTAAAATTTGTGGTTTAATGCAGAATTGTGAGCACACCATAACCATGTATTGTCTAATTTTGTTAAAGTTTGTACAAAGGTTTTTTTAGATATTTCTATGCTTTATTAGTGCTGTTACATGGCACTCTCAACATATAAAATATTTATGTGAAAGTAATGTTTTGGGCTAAATAAATAATAATCTTGTTTATTTCAAACTTATAAAGGTCTTGAAAGTAAAGGTTAATCATTATATTTTCAACATTTTTTTAATGTTGTTAACTAGCACTTCTGTTGTTTATATTCGTAAAAACAAAGTTTCTCTTCATTGGCGAATTTTGTAATAGTTTTCAAATATTTGGTAAATTATTACGTATTTTAGGTTGACAGCAGTCGTTTTGTCGGTACTGGAAAACCTAATTATCTGCAGCAATTCTATTGTTGCACCCCAATTTGTTGAAAATATTAGAGAAGGGATATCAACAAATCTTACGGCCGTTGCTCAAATACTTCTAACCGAAGCTTTAATGAACTGTTGAAATGACCATATCTTTCCCTAAATAATTTAGGTGATCTTACTTTTATATATATGTTGATAGTTTCAATAGAAAGATCTTTACAGAAATCAGAGTTTCTGACATATCAGCGAATATTGAATAACTTTCTGAGGGTGGTGTTTTGAATTTGTTGTAGTTCCTTAAATTCAACTTTAGCAAAATTACTAGAAGCGACATCAAAGTTGGCCTGATGGTTTGCTTATATATTCTTTCTATTCTACCATTTTATTATTTACGTTTGTATTTTACGTTTGAATTGGATTAACACTAACGGCTTGTGCGTGTGAAGTGATAGTGTTTATGAAGTGCTTAGAAATACAATAGAGATGAAGAAAATTTCTTGTTGAAAGTTTGTTTGTAAGGAACGTGAGATATATAGTTGTCATAATTACTAATTTACTATGTATTTAAACAATCCCTTAACTATAATTACAAAAGCTTCTACAACCAAAATAATGAAATGAAATTGATGCACTTATAAAAGCTACTAAAGCTACGATAAATGAGTAGCTCAACTCAGTACAAAAGTGAAGAGTGTATTTATCATAATCTTCATCCAACTTCCATTTTAATTTTTAACTGAAATGAAGTCTTTATTAATTCAATTTGTAATTATATTTAATTTCCATAACGAACACTTAAGTAAAGATGTATCCATTAAAGCTTCATATCATTTCATTTATTAATAAATTAAAATATATTTTTCTACTTGCTTATTTGCAACAATTGAGTAAATATCTCTTTATATATGAATATTTTTTTTATTGTCCTGATCCTTCTGTGAGTGAAAATTAATTCAATAAATATGAAATTGTGCATTCATATACTTTACTAGAACCAAAAAATACATATGCAATCCTGATGAAACAAACCGCACGAGTTCTTTTTATTTCCTGTCGACTGATAAATAATGACAAAAAAATATTAACAAAAGGCAGTCCGTACTGCGTGAGTTGGGGGAAAATATTCAATATTTTCGATTATTTTCATGTTCACTGAATTTTCATTTAATATTTGTATATCAATTATTACAATTTGCTTAAAAAAACGTTCATACCCATTTCAGCGAAACCAAAACTACTCTCTGTCGTTTAAGGAAAGGAAAACTCAATTTACTCTTTTATGTATATTTATTTACGCGAAATGCGATAAAGCAAAATAAAGTATCTGTGGATTGCTATTTAAGACTTATTAAAGTACTATATTGTATGTGTTTTAAGTATGGAAGTAGTTAGTTTGTATAGAATCTTCCACTCTCTTTTCATGCTGTAAAAAATCGGCTTAAGATATAGAATACATGAGACCTGGTGTCCAATAATTAAATTTTATTATGAAGGGTTCCAACAGTAATGAAGCAACAACAACAATAATTTTGATAAATATATTGAAATTTGACTGACCATATATGGAGTATGAACTCATCATCAAGGGTCTTAAGAAATATTTTAATCTTTTAATTAGTTTATAGTACGAATTTTTTTGGACTGCAAGTGTTAGGCTTAGAACTTGTGCCTGTCAAATTAGAAGCGATGACTAATCCTATGCCCTAAATAGCTTAGGCTGCTAAGTTTGTACAGCTGATGATGATTACTTTAACAAATTAACTAAAATTTTTGTTGTTATCTTTTCATTTCTATTCGAACTCTTCTAACTTTTAAATAAGAGTAAATTTTTTTAATTCATACTTTAAAATCCAGCTTATCTCGTTCTCTTGATAAAAGTTTTGGCAGTTTTTAATAAGTTTAACTCTACATTCTTGAGAATTTCCAAAATATCGAAGAGTTTGACAGCTTTATTCCTTATATATTTCTTAACACTTTCAGTTTTCATATCAAAGTGTACGTTTGAGCTTCTTACATACCATGGCGCTTTCACCAACGTTCTAAGAACTATATTTTTATGTGCTTAAAGTTTGTTTACTTAAGTTGGCGCCAATTTGCTAATTGCTTCTCAACCATTAAGTTAGCTAGGCCTGATTAACTGCCTTGTCTCATAGTGGCTGTAGAACTCAAAGATTTAAATTGCATAGCACTGTTTTCTTCCTTTATATAATGGTTTTATAAAAATTTTTTTACACAGTTCAGATTAAGATATTCTACTTTAAGGTGTTAAATAAAGTTAATCCAACCTTGGTTAATCTATTTAATATAGCAAATGTATACTAATTTACACTAGATGGAGTTTATATTATAAGTTTTTATAGTTCGACTTATGGAGACTTCGAGTTAAAGATTTTTTTTTGTAATTGTATGTTGATTGCTCTCTGAACCCTGTTGCACTTTTTTTAATTCGAGTTATAGAAGTTTAAGTTGTGGAAGTTTGTTTGTATATAAAAGTTCATATTTATGAAGGTAAATTTTCTTATACGAACTCAAAATTTACATTATAGATAAGTTATAATTCCATAAATCTTCTGAAAAAACTCATTTTTTCAGAAGTTTTTATTTAAAAATATATTCATTAAAAAAATATAAAAGAAAATATCCATTTGAAAGCACGCGAAACCGCAATTATTTATTAAATCCCAATGCTTTCAAAGGGTATGCTTCATTCGCTCTGTCTTAATACAATGAATATGTAAATACACTCCTAAATTTCACAACAAATTTTCGTCTGAATGAAGTTGAAGTTTACAATGGAAAAAAGATGAATTAGACAGTATTAGTACCCTGAGGAAATGTTTTCCAAACAGGAACAGGATACAATGTATTTTTGCTGAATTAGTTTTATTTTCAAGAGTTTCGAATGCATATTTACAGCTCTTCTCCACTACATCCGGAATTCTGTAAATATAAGTGCTTTTAATCTCTTCATGATTTTGGATTAGATCTTTTTTGATGTGAATATTTTTTGTACATTAAAAAACAATTTATGCTCTTATTTTTTTTAAAATTTATTTTGCCAGCAAATGTAAATATTAAATTATATATTAATGCAAATATTTTTCTGAATTCTTCTTTTAGGTTACCTTTACTAAAATTCATCCATTCTATGTTTATTCAAAACGATATCCAATTTTCACACATGCAAACGAAATCCAACATGCAAACTCACAAGGACGACAGTTTGTAGAATTTTAAAGTGGTTACGTGGCGAATCCTTTCAAGCGGTTTCGGTTTTCAAGCGAACCGATGATTACAATTTTTAAAAATACTTACTAATTTTCATCTTCGTGATGAATTCATATTTTAATTGTTAATTTGATTTACACAATAAACTCTTATATGTCCTTCGGATATATGCGATGGAGAAAACAATAAGTTCATTGTATTGTTTGGTTAATTTTCAAAAAAAACTATTTACTAAGACAAGCTAACACGGCAGTATGCAGCCATACACTCTCACTGCATACAGATCATCACTTTGTTCTGATTTAATTTATATTTTCTATTAAATATCGTAACTACTAATTCTAAGGATCTTAAGGATTTGCATGTCTTTACTTAATTATTGTTTGTCACGCGGTGTAGTGTCGCTACACTCATTGCTTTCTAATTAATATCAAATTTGCTTAACTAAAGTAAAATTTTAATTAAAATTTTTTATTTACTTAGAAGAAGAAGAAATATGTGCATCTTTTTTACAAATATATTTTAAAAAAATATTTATATTTGCAAAATAAATTAATAGGAAATTTAATACAACTCGTCATTAAATGCGTCACATTCGACTTCTATTTGAAAATTAGAAGGGTTCGAATAGAAATGCAAAGAGAACAACAAACTAAAATTTTTGTTATTGTCTTTTCATTTTATTCGAACCCTTCTATAATAGTTATTGCAATCCATATACTTACTATTCAGTATTCACTTATTCAGTTCGTATGTTCCTTTGCATTATATAGTCGTATACATATACTCAGATATATACAGACCGGAAGTATACATAAAGACAAATGCATATTGTGACAAAGTAGAGTGGTTATAAGATTATGATTGAAAAGTGTTTCTAGTATCTTTTGTGGGGGCACTGTTTACTCCGAGAGTCAAAATAACACATTCCATTCTATATATGTAGAGGGCATTTTTTTGAAAGCGTTTGTTTCCTATTTTAAAATAATCACTTTAAGTCGAAGTAATGTGCATTAAAATAGCTGTTTTGAAAAGATATTTGCATATTAATCATGGTCGAGTGAGTCCTGACACATACGTGAAGTTATATACTGACTCAAGACAAACTGAAAAGACAGTTTCTAAGTTATTCGTTTTATAAATTCCACGAATGTTATCTTCAAACTTCTCCAACAAGTTTGGTTTATAAAATGATATTATGTATCACTTATCGCTATAAAAAGTAAGCCTTCACGATCATGACGATCAATTTAAGCTATTAATTGAGCAAGAAAAAGTAATTGTTCATGGGCCTTAAGTACTCTTTATTGATTGTGACGCTCTGACCAACAGCTTTAAATAATATGGTCTAATGATTCTCTTTTATTAACCCATCTAAGCAACTCTTGCGCGTAATAGATACTTCTATCGCCAATCAAACCAATCAAGCCTGGTTTCACTAGCCCATTAGGTTATCAAGATCCCATCAAAATCTATTCATGTTAAATTTTATTCAAACGTACTTAAAACGAATTAAACGTCAATTGTTAATCTGATTGCCACTATAAACATAAAAATTCAACCTCTAAAAAAATATCCTTTAATTATCCGTTTTATACTATATGAACCACTAACTTCATCATTTGATTTATTAAAACAGCATAGATTTTATTTATTAATTTAAGATATTTTAATAACTTAAGTTTAATAAACCTAAGCTATAAATGATCTTAATTAAATATTAAAACTCTTCCAAGTAATTTTGACCACACCATCTTTTCAACCATTCTTTGGGACGATTGAAATATCGGGGTCAACGACAACTCATTTATTGTTTTATAATTCTAATAAATCTTTTTATATTATTTTTTACTAAATACTTGATAGGGTTGTGAAATGGTTTCGAAATTTGTTATATCGAACATGCTCTAATGTACTGTACTTATCTTCTATGAGACTGAGAACATGATTTTTTCTTTTATAAAATACTGCATATAGAAGTGTATGAAGGTGTGCTCACAATTGGCTTTTTTAAATATACTTTATTATTAATTAAGTATAGTATATTCTGCATTAAATTTTAAGAACTATACTAATAATTTGGCAAGAAATCTTTGATTTTCTATTTATCGGGTCCGGTAACATAATCACAGCACATTTAGCTTCAGACTCAGATTCAAATACTTCATCCTCATTCCAAGGCACTACTTTTTCAGAACCTTACAGACTCGTATATGAAATTATCATTTACATTTGTTCTAATTAAAATATATTAAAAATTTACTTGCTTAGTTGTTAATTTTTGTTAATCGCTGCCTCGCTTATAGAAGCAAAACTAACATGCAACAATGTTTTTATTTCTCTTTACTTTTAAACATTAAAAACCAACACAAAAATGGCATTAACAAATTGCACATTTTGTGTCACATATCTGTTAAATCTAACCTGACTAACTAACGCCATGAAACATTAACTAAAACCTCCATCACTTCCATTGAAATTCTGTTGTTGTACACCCTCTATGTAAAAATGAACCCATCAAATCTTTTTTCAAACACGCGTGCTTTATACAATAAAAAAAATTTGTTCCTTGTTCCTGTAAAACCTCCAAATCTGCTGTCCAACATTTACTTACGATCCACCTTAGACATACAAGAAAGCTTGCAACCGCAATATGCAGAAGAGTACTGTGAAATTGAGCAGGAAATAGTCTTAGCTGAACGCAAGACTCTTACGAACTTAGTTTGGCCCCCACCACAAGATGATAGCCACAATTTACCAACTGCAGCTCCATTATATATAGCACCACCCGAAACTCAACATGTAGTTACGAAACCTTTAGAACAACCACCTCCTGTACCACCGGGTTCTGTTGGAGAGAAATCACAACCTTCAATGACTGAATCGAAAACTGAACTAACTGAAGCGCAACAACAACAACAACAACAACAGCAACAACTCTATTGGCAAAGTCGTTCAGCACCTCAGTTAACAAGTCAAATACAAACGCATGAGCTTGAGTCTAGCTCAGATAGTTATACTTCTACAAGTACTACGACTACTACAACATCAGAAGAATATCAACGTATGTATGCTGCACAAGTTCAAGCTTATCAAATGCAGCAAGCCTATGAGCAATCAGGTTCGGAATTAGATTATCACATGGATTTGGAAGTTGCAGCAATGCAACAAAAGCAGTGTTGTCTTACAGCCTCGGAACATATGTCAGGCCGTCGTAGTGCACAGGAATGTGTTGTTTCATTAGCTGCGCCACTGAGCACATATAAGCTGGTCGATTTGGTAAGAGAAGTAACACCTAGTCCTATTCCTCCACCCAGCACACAAGTTCCAAGGCATGTTGTATTTGTTGACGAACCTGAGATAAAAGAGCTTGAACCGATCTTAGAGTATGAATCAATTGAAAAAGTTCAGAAAAAAATAGAGTTAGAATCTCAGTCATTACGTGAAGATTTACAAAAGGTTGAAGAAATGGAGCCAGCAGATTATAGTACCACAATTATTGAAAATGAAAAAGATGAATTAGTGATATCAAATCGAAATCAAATACTTGAGAGTGAACGTATATTTCAACCCACACCAGAAATCAAAATTGAAATAGCTCCCGTTCGTCAAATACCCCCTACTAAAATACCAAACCCCACACCCAAACAATGGATTAACCCTATGGTTCGTGCATTAACAACGGCTCCAGAAGTGCCTTTTCACCTAACTGAATGTCTCTGTCCAAAGCCATGCGATTGTTCCTTCGAAATTCAAACTAAAACAGATGATCAATCACATGGAAATACTGTTAGTCCACCAAAAACTCCCCCAATATCAAAAGTTGAGGAAAGACCCCCATCGCCCAAACTAGCAGAACCAAGTATTTTGCAAGAATCTCCCTTGCAAGGTTCTTATTTAACGAATGCAATTTCCATCGCGCCTGAATTTAGTATAAATTTAGCACCAACTGTTCCTCAACCAATTTCACTGCCTGAAGAAACTGAACCATATATGCCACCCCCTATTGACTTAAAACCATACATGCGGGAAGATTACCGACCTAAATCACCTTTTTTAAGTGCCCTAACAGTAGCGCCCGAGAAATCTTTTGAAGGACAATTTGAACGAGATGTGCCAATCCACGTCATTGATTTACCTACACCCAAAGAACATTTAACTATGTCCGATGCACTACGCATTGCTCCTCAGCGCTCCTACACTCCCTTAAATCCTGAAAATGCAACTCATATGTTTGAAGAGCAAGAAAAGAAAAAAGAAAAGAAAAAATATGAATTTCAGGTTTTAGACAACGACCTTGAAAGCGATCCAAACTACAATAACGGCGAGAATGTTCAATACTATACCACAGATAAACAGGAAAGAGGTCAACGCAAATCTTCAGCATTTGCGGCAATGCAAGCATTCCAACCATCCCGTGAACCTTTAACTCCAAGTACTCCACGAAACTCTATTATATCCTTATCCCAGAATGAAACCGACCTTGACTACGCGAATTATTGTAAAGCAAAGGAACGTAATGAAAAGAGGTTAAATTATTTGCACAAACTGGAAGAAAACTTACAACAAACCGAACCAATCAGCACACAATCAAATACATGTAAAGAGTCCTTAATATCTTCCTGTACCAAAGCAACTTCTTCCACAAACTCCTCTTCCACAGTCCAACAATTGTCCACTACATATGCCTCAAATACAACTCAAGCTTCCCAATCTGCTTACGCCACGCACTATGGGAGCCATGCTTTAAGCTCGGGAAGATTCGATGAGCAAGAACTAATTGCAGAGACAGTTGAAGAGCTTGAGCACTCAGATGTTCTATTTCCACCACCGTCCCCGCTTAGTCACCTCAAAAATAAACCAGTTTCATCTGGCCTTCATAAAGCAGACACTATTCCAAAATATCAGCGCAATTGGACAGTACTGCCCACGCAAAGTCCTGTACGCACTCCGGAACCACAAGAACTTCGAGAGAATGTACCACTCGCTTTTGTAGAGGCACCTAAAGTAACTAGTGCAGAAGAAATCACAACTAACCGCCTTGTAAATAGTACAGTAACAACACAAACTTACAGTTCCAGCAACAGGCAACAGCAAACGGTAGCTGCTGCCAGCGTTGTCTCAAGTTCAGAACACACTGGCAGTGAACAGCGACAGCAGCAACCGTCTGCACAAGCTTTAGTTACTCCACAACAAAAACTACCAATTGTGCCAATTATTATAGAAGATCGATCAGGTCCAGTAACAATGGCTTTTCAATCACTAGATGAGCACCTGGAACCTCCACTATCGAATCGCGCATATACGCCTTCCTTGACTAATAAACCAGCACCGATAATTCCATTTTATCAGACTCCTGAAAAATTATGTTTCGATGAGTGTGCTGCTACACATGCCAAACCTTATGATCGCCGATCTGCTTCACCTTTTCCAGATCGTGCACGATCACCAGCTCCCGGACCACCACCAAATCCATTGTCTAACATTCGAGCGCCAAGAATTAAGGATGCCAATGTACCGGCACGTATGCTTCAAGTTGGATCCATTACTACAGGCCAAAGCTATTTGGGAGCTCAACAAGCACAACAACAGGGCCAATTGTTATCACATTTTGAAACCACCAGTCAAGCTGGCTCACAGTCATACACCGAGAAACCGGAAACAGTCATGGAGAGAAAAATTGGTGACACGACAATACAAAAGCGTGAAAAAGAATCTCGTTTAGAAGAACAAAAACAGTCACAACTTCAAAGTCAGACAACGACACAAATAGGTAATACTCAAATCGAACGTAGACGAAAAGTTACTGAAGAATTTGAGCACACCCAAAGTGCAAAAACTGTCGAAATCCGTACTGGTTCTCAGTCATCAAGCGAGCACCGACAAACTTACGGGAAAACTGGATTTGTGGCAAACCAAGCTAGACGTCTTTCGGGTTTAGAACAAGAAATTACTGACTTAACTAGCCAGTCACAAGCTATAAGCGCTCGAGCCGCCTTAATGGATACCTCATTTCCACAATTATCTTCGTTAGAGACAACAACAAGATTTCCAACTAAATCACCCGTTCCATACGACGAACCAAAATCTTCCAAGAGCACATTAGCTACACGTGGTAGTGAAAATTTAGTAGGGCCGCCGCCAGGCTTTCAAACTCAGCAACAAAAGGAATTATCGCAAATGACTAATGCTTACGGTTCCTCGTTGATATCTTTGCAACAGAAACAACATCAACAACAACAACAACAACAACAGAAATCATTAAGCGCATTCAATAGCGTCTCTACCATATCATCAAATTCATCATTACAAGCTAACACTGTTAGCAGCAGTCTAACCAAAGCTTCAGCTACTAATACACAAGCTTTTTCAGCCTCTAAAACTGGTGGCACTAGTGCTTCCAGTGGCATCTGTCCAGTAACAGGCACATTCTGTCGTCCTGGACATTCTTGTTGCAAACAACAACTTATTCAATCGCAGCCAACAGCAGCTGCTGCTCCTAGCGCCGCTAATAATAGTAACAATTTAAGTCTAAATAACACATATCGGCCGAATGCTTCCGCAGGTATGACCGGTTTTAAACCGCCGCAAGCTTCCGCAGCCACTAGCGCTCTTGCAGCTGAGCCTTCTGCTATTAAAAGCGCCCCAATGGCAAGCGCTGCTGCTCCAAGCATAAGTGAAAGTACTAATGTTGGTGATTCTTCAGGTCTAGGCGGAAAAGGTGGAGCTTATGGTGCTACTTCCGCACCAAAGCGCGGACGCGGTATTATGAATAAAGCAGTCGCACCAGGAGTGCGCGTACCACTCTGCAACAGCTGCCATATTCAAATCAGGTAAAAAGAGAATGCCAATTATTGTTGTTTTTAATGGAAGTTCCATGTTGACTTTGGTTCTGAATTGTTGAATGAATTGATTTGTTATTTCCTTTATTATGTGTTATTATTTATTTTATTATAAGTATTTTACTTTTTTTTTTAAATTTTTAAAAATTTATTTTTAAATATTTTTTATTAACATTGCATGTATGTTATGTATTTTCTTAGAAATTAATCTTTGCATTATTGAATGTTTATTGTACCTTTGTGTTTCTGCGCTGATTTCAGAGCCTTGCTTGCAAACTAACACACTAAATGCTACTCTTCCGCGTAAAATCAATGCCGCTAATGTGGCTGACCACCATGACAACGCAGTAGCTGAGCCTATTTATAATGACGAAGCCACCGCCATGCTGACCGAATCAATTGGAAAAATTAATATGGGCGAGAAAATGAATAACTTCATGGCTGAAGCTGGCAAGATCATATCGAATATGCTTGAAGCACGTTTGGCTAACAATAGTGGCCATCCGTCACTTTCCAACAGTGGCAGCACTTTAAGTTTACGCAGCAACAGCAGTTCAAACTTATCCAAAAGTCCTATGGTTATGCGTAAACGATTTGAACTAGACGATTTCAAGGACATCGATCCAACTGAGCCCGTATCATTAAAACCTGTCGTTGCAATGGCACCTGTAACGCAAAGTCCCGCTTTGCATAAACCAAAAGCACAACCACAAATGCCAAAATCTATTGGCTCACTTACTACAGATATGCCGGTGAATCATCCGATGGGTAAGGTACTTGACATATGTGATAATGGAATCCCTAATAAGCGTGAAGTGATAAATAGTGCTGCTAAACCAGCAGGTGGTGTCGTTAATATTATAAACGGCAATGCAAATCAACTTCCACCACCTCCTCCACCAATGCCAGTATCTACTGCAACAAGAACGGAACATAAAATCGAAGCAAATAATTCACCACTACCACCTACAGAAGTCGTGGTATTCCGAAATAATACAGAACAAAATAATAAACGCACAGGACGTGGTGGAGAGCTTTCCACGCATGCAATGGATCGTCGATCCTACATTGAACCAAACGCACAAAATGAAAGCATAATGGATGGACCTGCTTTCAGCATAAGTGTAAAAGCTTTGGGTGGACCAAAAGATAATGATAACCCTACCATGTCGCCTGAAAATGAGGAAGTCGTAAGTCAGTTGCTAAAGGATGGTAAGCGTCCAATTTGTTGTCAGTGTAATAACGAAATCAAAAAGTAAGTATCACAAGCTTTCCGTTAAGTTAAATGATTAATATTAATATTAAAAGTAATGATGATCGTTGTAAATCTTTGTTGTTGCATGAGCTTTTTAGACATAAACTTTTTTATTTAATATTTAATTTTTATTTTCATTTTTTTTAATAATAGGGGTCCTTTCATAACTGCTCTCGGTCGCATCTGGTGCCCAGAGCACTTCATTTGTGTCAATGCCAATTGCCGTCGTCCATTGCAAGACATTGGTTTCGTTGAGGAGAAAGGAGATCTTTACTGCGAATACTGCTTTGAGAAATATTTGGCACCAACCTGCAGCAAATGCTGCACCAAGATCAAGGTAACAATTATACTTATTTAAAACATATATCCTTAACTTCAAAAACAATGGCCATGAGTTTCAAATATAATAAACATATATTATATATAATAAAGGGTTTTTTTTAGTTGCATGAGAACTTAAAATGATAATAAATGATAATAAAAATTATTATAATCTGGTAGATGATTTTCGACATATGTCTGCCGCCGCTACGAGTTACATGGTCCATTCGATCGGTCGAATTTTTGGCTAATATTTGCAATAATTATAGCATCTATGGAGACATGAACATTGGTTTCCAATGCTTCAACAATGCTTCAATGAACATAGCTCCATAAAAAAATAGCCTCATAAAAACATAGCCCCATAAAAACATAGTTTCCCAAAATCGTTCAATCACACGAACGAAGGGGCCAGTTAACAGAACTACTTCTGGAAATATAGTTGTTACCAAATTGATTTCACAATAAATCGATTGTATGGCAAGCTGTATGGCAAGTTGCGCTGTCTTGTTGGAACCTAATGTCATCGATGGTTAACCGATTAATTTGAAAAAAAAAAATTGAAATTCATCAGCATGTCTCGATAGTGCATGGCATTTACCGTAACGGCAGCTCCTTTCTCATTTCGAAAGAAGTAAGGACCAATGGTGTCGCCAGCGTGTAAACCGCACCAGATAGTCAGTTTTAATGGACGTAATGCTGATTCGTTAATGGCTTAAGGGTTATCTTCACTTCAAATAAGGCAATATTGCTTATTAATGCAGTCATTTAACCAGAAAGGAGTTTCATCACTAAACATGATGTGTTCTATGAACAGATTTATTTTTTTTTAAACCAATTTTTACAATTTGGAAGCATTGTTCTAGAGTTGAACCATTGATGACGAATTGCCAAACCTTACTGTATAGAAATGTCAACACAGTTTGATATTTTCAGCCGTCAAACCATAGCTACCGATATCAATAGGTGTCATACAGCTAAAAAAATACCCGATATATGCACATGAATAACATATATACTTGAAAAAGCATTTAAAGTTTAAAGCTTCTATATCGGTTTGGTGTTTCTCTATTTTCTTATTGTTTTAGGGCGATTGCTTGAATGCTATTGGCAAGCACTTCCATCCTGAATGCTTTACTTGTGGTCATTGCGGTAAACTCTTTGGCAATACTCCATTCTTCTTGGAAGATGGCAACGCTTACTGTGAAGCCGATTGGAATGAACTCTTCACAACAAAGTGCTTCGCTTGTGGTTTCCCCGTTGAAGCTGGAGACAGATGGGTTGAGGCTTTGAATCACAATTATCATAGCCAATGTTTCAACTGCTCTGTAAGTAACAAAGCCAAAGCAATAATTGAATAAATTAAATAAATTAATTGAATATATAATTAATTTTTTAATTTCATTTTCAGTACTGCAAGCAAAATTTGGAAGGTCAAAGCTTTTACAACAAAGGCGGTCGTCCGTTCTGCAAGAATCATGCGCGTTAAACCGCAGGACTGATGTTGAATATCAGGGATCATGCATAAAAAATTAAAAAAAAAAACTAATAAAATCTTAACTAAAATATTAATTAAATCAAACCGTAAATTACACATAATGATATATTAATTTTGTTTATTTTTAAATAATACTTTCGTTTGAAAACTAATTAAATAATAAATTTTTAGTTGTTAAAAATGTATTGTGAAGCATTAAATATTTCCAATTAAGCAATTTTCTATATTAAAACTTAAAATGAAAGCATCCAGCGAAAAATTCTGCATTGGAATTTCCTTGAATGCTAATTGTATATTTTATCCTTGCCTATTTTTCGAGAGTTCCAAGGAAGCTGGTTTTTTTTCTCAATTTTCAATGAAGTTTAATGAAATAGAAATTGTTTAAGTTTTCGCTTAATTGTGCACATTTGAAAATCATTAAAATTGTATTTGTCCATATTTACAAGATATATCTTATATTTAAAATATTATTGAATGATCATACACTTAAGTTAATGAATTGATGTAAATTGTAAAAATTATTATCATTTAAAAATAAATTTGAAATCTTTTTGCGTTAAAATCTAGCTAAACTGAATATTCATTATTCATTTCATTATATCTATCATCACCGCAAATGGATATTTAAATAAACAACGATCAAAGTGCCAGCTAACATCAATTAATAGACACTATGTTATTATACAGATAATATAATGGAGGCATGTTTTGACAAGCCAACTGTGCAAGAGTTCAGATATTTTATGTCTTTGTATAAGATTGTAGACAGAGTAATTTCATTATTGTCATATGGCAGACATTGACTTATCAAATAATTTTAACTCAATTTTAACTGTATCGTAAGAAAGATATGATGGTGCAAGATGTGTGCTGTACATCTTGAACTATTATATCTTTCATATGAAACATCAAATCTTTTATTTTTCCAGAAAATGTTAAAATTGAGTTAAGATTATTTGCAATGCCAATGTCTGGCTCATAACAATAAGACAACGGTTAGATTAGCTCTTCTCCTCCTAGCAATTTATTGGTATCATAACGAGAAATAGATATCTACGAGTGGAAGGTTTAATATTTGTGTTAGAAGTGCCCTCTCAATTTACTCTAACATCAACGAAAAATAAAAATGTGATGGCTAATAGCACTAAAAACATATAAAAATAAGAAAAGCAAAAAATAATAGTTGATAATTTTTAAGTAATTTCTGTTGACAAGTTTTAATGTGATTTGTTTAATCACATATTTTTTTTTCTTTGTTACTTATGATTTATGCTTTATTACAGCAATAACTTTACAGAAACTCCACTCAATTTGGAAACAATTTTTATTAAATACCAAAGTGTTAGTAACAGTTTTTTATAAATATAAGAAATGAATGAATATATAAATAAAATATGAATAATATATAAATATAAATTAATCTTATCATTAAGGTCACTCTGAAAAATCTTCTTCAGATATTCTTTTTTAAATGCAAAGAAATACTTGAAGCATTAAAAACTCTTTCAGACTTGAAAGTCTTCCTTTCTCTACTGCCATTCGCAAAAGAATCTTGTTTACACATTGCCGGAATAGTGTACCTCAATGATATTTTAAGACAAGCCCTTAAACTGATCAGAATTGCATCAGTTAACCGCTTTAAGGATTTATACGTATGTGTTAAGTTCAAACTGAAGCTCAGCATCGTTTTAAAAACAATTTTATGCTTAACTAAGTATTTCTGTTGCCTTCTTCAATCGCAATCGGATACTTTCCTTAGGATTTGTATTTAGGAAGAAAACTTCCTTTCCATTTTGGTGCTAATCGATTTTTACGCTCATATTCAATTTGGACTTTTGCACGCATTAAAATCTGATTGGGATTATTTGCTTGGTTTCTTTTATGAAATTTACAGTTGATTAGGCGTGGCATATGTGGCATATTTCTGCCTGTACGTTTGTGTGGAAGCAGGAATGGATCCATTGACCATATGCGAATGCAAGAAAAGGTAATGAAGGAAGAAACACAAAGCATTGAGTTTCAAAGCCAAATCATTTTTAGGACATTATTATCTTTAGCCGGTTGAGTGAGCTTCCACAATGTGTAAGGCAAGCTTAAGGAAATTCAATAAGAAGCATTCATATGTTCGCAAACAGAACGGAATGGACTTTTAACATAATTTTGTGGTTTGTTTATGGTAATTTAGAAATAATACTAACATTTAAATAGTTTAAGTTAAGAAATAAATCGAAAACATATTTTTATTATGTACACATTGAAATAACTGCTTTACTTATTACTTACCATGGTTGGATTACTAGTGGTGGTTGAGAAAGTAGAGTAAATCCAACGATAATATCACAACGGGCTCTGGGTTTCTGTTAGTCGCGTTTCCTAAAGTGGTTTGAACTATTTATTGCAATGCATGAAAACACCTGATTTTCTTATTTAATCTTTAATTGTTTGATATAAAGGCTTCATATATATATTTGTACATATATTCCTGATCACAATAATCCACGGACACAATTTAGCAATATCTGCATGCATCTCTCACTTAATGCAAGTTAATGCCTTTAGACGATATAACTCTTGGAGATAAATTTATTGGTTTTTTTGTTTTTACTTTAATGTTGGTTGGAATGATCTAAACCAAATGAAAATATTCCATAACAAATGGATAAAGTCAAGACACAGAACTAATTTCTATTTATTATCCACGAAAGGATTTACTTGGTATATGTGTTATAAAATATAATTTTGTTCGTATTGAATCGTGTTTGGTTATAGCAATCATATAAACTGACAGTGCATATAATAAATAGAGTTGTTATGCTCTCTATAATAGTTGAAATATGAATGATATGACATATATTTACATATAAATCTTATTTCCAATGAGCGCTTTCTTCAATTTCTTGAAAAATATCATAAAACACATATTATTATATAAATATTCGACTTTCACTTACGTTTACATAATATAAAGGCTTATATGTGTATTTTTGTTTTATTTTAGATATAATGATAATATGCAGCACTAAAATTCTGTTTTGATGCATTATTTTATTTTATTTTATTGTGTCAAATGACTATTCTATTTTACTTTTATATAGAGAAAGATTTTTTCTTATCTTTCTTGGAGACATGTTGTATAGACAGACATATAAAGAATATTTGTGATCAGATAACATATATCATGGTTAATAATTTTGTACTTTAAATACATCTTTTGTTTTTTATGTCTAAATTTAAAAGGTACTTACTTCTGTGTATATACGTCTGTATATATGATAACATATAAAAGCAAGTACTGACATTTCTTACTAATCAACATTGTTTTCACCAACCTAACTAGACAAAAAAAGCCGTCACAAAATCTCTCTATTCCTCTTATTTCAAACTTTTTAATTTACATTGAGAAAAATAATAGTTTGTTATTTGATGTGGGCATGACGGTCTGCATAACATGGTCTTTACAAACCATTATTAATCCACTAGTTATATGTCATTATATCCAAAATTAGTTTCACTGCAAGTCAACTTTATATTGTGTTTTTAGATTCAGTTCAAAAGCAGTTTTTGGCTTTTCTGCTTAACTTTTCTTTTCATTCTCACATTTTCTACTGAATTGAAATCTTGTTGGTCTAATTTAATGACTTAATTCAAATTAATCCTTATCAATTCTCCCTTGTAAGTAGAAAACATTGCAATGAATTAAATCAACGAGAAGAATTGGATTATTTATTGTGTTTGAAGATTAGGGAATGAGTATTATATCAAGGTGTACATTCGGAACTTCTGAACTTCTGTGGGAAAAATTTCTTTACTTATAACATCAATATAAGTTGTACAATAGCTTTACTACTAGTTTTTAGAAGAGAAACATGTCAAATCCTTGAGAGATATTTTTTACTTTTACTAATACTTTTTAGAAGACTTGTTAAATACTTGAAAGATTATGATTCTCCATACCATGTTATGAGTTTGTAGGTGCACGTCTTTTCTGTTCAGATAGAGTCTTTCATCAGGTTTCATTAAATTATATTTGACCTTATCGGAGAAAATTCAATCTTCGCAGTCAAGAAGCAGTCCATACTTATTTGAAATTCATTTAACCAAACTTATTAAAGTGTAACTAAATCATTTTGTGTCGTCAACAGAGAGGTTACTCTATTGATTTAGATAGTGAATAATATCGGTTTCTTAGACACAGATTTTTAGCGTGAATATTCTTTGCTTAAATAGATTAACCATGATCAATACACGTTTAACGCTATCAGCAGCAATGGAATCTAGAAAAAAAAACGTTGAAAATAAAGCATTTAAATTAAAAAATTGTTGTTAAATCTGTAAAAAAAGGGGAATAGGGAAAGAAATTATCTAGAAAACCCATCATAAAGTGCTTTAAGTGTTAGTACTGACTGTATTTAAATTTCAGACTCGTAACAAATTGAAGACTTACACTCTTTATCTCCGATATACAGTTCCACCAAATTGGTTAAATGGTCTATTGTTAATGAATTCGTATCCTACGATTTGTGAGATCTATTCTATTATAAATGATTCAATAATTTAGTACATCATAAAATTTTTTTGTACCATTCGTTCTTCGAGAAACGTTGTTGATAATCTTTTAACATTTTTATAAATTCTTTGGATGCAATTTCTTCATTCGCTGTATGGGGAATGGAGAGGATATCCTTATTGCATGCATACTAAATCTATGGATATAATAAGTCCTGTTATGATGAATCCATTACAAATATTATACGATAAATATGAGCCTTCGAATACATTATTTTAAGTCAATTTGCATACTCCTACTTAAATCTAAAATTATATCTCACTACGAAGTAATTTAAACAAGACAATATATGAACTAAAAGAATATAGTAGTTACTTTGAGTTAATTTAGTGATTTTCAGTAAAAGCGGATAGCGACATTACAACAAAATACATCGTAAAATCGGTTCAGTTATTTTTGCAGGACTTGACTTTTGTTGTTTATCAGTCCTTATTATTGAAATAGATTATATCTCTCAGAACTGTTACTTTTTCCGATGCGTGGTCACTAGTGGATGTTTTCCGATTTTCTGTCGAAATGATAAAAGTATTATTCAGAAGTCTCCGGTAGGAAAGATTAAAATACATAAGCATAATTTTCTTCAATGTGTGTATGTGTGAACACTGTAACTGGCTCACCACCATTTTTTTATAAACGAATTATTATAAAAAAAAATATCTTGTTCTTCTAAGAAGGAAATAAGTAATCAGTTTTTACACATGAAGAATATGGGTGTGGTAGAAAGTGATTCCCGTTGACTCCGTCATGAGAAGAAGGAAACATCAGAATATATTCTATGCAACTTACCAGCAGTGGCAGGACGTAGACTTGACTGCCTTGAAAGCGGGATCTTATTTACAAATCACATAGGTAAAATAAATTCCAGAGCAATTACAACATTTTTAAATAGTCTAAAATTGTGTTAGTTGGGCTTTTAGGCGCACAATAAATCTTTCAGTTCGGACTTTAGTTTAGTTCATTCATAGCCTATTATTTAATAATAATATAATCAGGTTTTATATATTTTTTAACAATATATTTAGTTTATTTGAGTAATTGTTTTATAAATTTACATGCTTAAAATTCTAATAATAATTATAACACTTTATTAATTTAAAACTAAGTGGTATATTATACATAATTTCATATAATTATATATATGAGGTTGCTAATATCTAAGATTTTCTTAAAATTACAACAACACTTCAAACATTAATTTTACAATTTTCTGTGCAATTGTTTTGAATTCAATAATTTTTTCCAATGTTCAGAATTTTCTCAATGAGTTTTATATACAATTTACAAAAATAAGAAAAACTCGGGACTTGTCACGAAAGCGGAGCTATAGTTTCTTCCATTTCTTCCTCTCTTCCTCAGTGGTTTCAGTGATTAGTTAAACACTTACGCGTACAACAAAAAAGTTTCACAATCTAAGTAGCTTCATTCAAGTTCCATTAGATATAGATATAATATATGTATGTTATTTAATTATCCTTATCGAGAAGATTTTATAATGATTGATCCATAAAATCCTTTCAACTTTTTTATGTATTTTAACAAAATTTATTTATATCGTTTTATTTTTTTTTTGGAATTTACTAATACTTTGTTTTTTTACTTTTAGACATTTAGTTAGTAATTTTATTAATTTTTTTTATAAAAATAAATTTTACATAATCAAGTACAACAACAAATATTTTAGTTTCATTTTTCAAGCACATGCGCTTGCCTCTAACATACGAACGAGTACAGTACGTATCAAGTATATATAATAATATAACATAAATAAAATAAAAATAAATACCTTTGGGTTAATAAAATAGTTCAAGTGTTTGGGTGAGAGTGTGCAATATTCATTTGCAGGTACTTAACGTAAATTTTTATATTAAATCATGGTTAAATGGTTTCTATACGTATATATTACAGTTTAGTACAATTAGCGAATATTAATTATCAATTATACGATATCTATAAATGAGCCAATATCTCTATTTGCTCTCCGGCAGACTCCTGATTTCCGGTTTCATTGGTCGCCTGACTACTACCTTGTGATATGGTGACAATTGTTATTAGATCTTTGCCATGTTCATCTGAGTTCTGGGCATTCGTTATCTGATTTATGCCACTGTTAATTTCATGGGCTTTGATGTGCTCTGTATTCGTCTCTACTATGGCAGATGTTCGTAGTTGATGTGTAGAGTTTGTGGTTGAGGAGTTCGATTTGAGCGCAGTTATCTTTGGTGTTTGAGTTTGAGTACTGGAGGGTTCCGCTGACCGTCGTGATTGAATTGAATTATAATTTGGCAATTGATCTACACTCAAAGGTTCGGGTAGGTCTTCATTAGCCAGAAGACGTCCCGAGGGCGCGGTTTCGATACTTCGCTCACTGCATATTGTACCTGGTGTGGTATTACGAGAACGATAACTGGGTGGCAAGCTATATTCCGAACCTCCAATACTGCTGGGACCACCACTTCGAAGTGTCGTAGTAAGTGGAGCTCTAAAATTATAAAACAAATAATAATTATCAATATTATTATTTTATATTTATTATTATTATTTATTACTATTTATATGCAAATATTTGCAAGTATACGTACAACGTTAGCAAATGTATATTGTATACATAGTATTCTTGAATATTAACTCTGAAGAATAAATTAGTAATGAACAAATAATATTGGATCTTATAAACTAAAATTAATTAATTTAAACTAAATAATAATATAGTATAATCGATGGTGAATATATGATGTAACGGTTTCGTAAATATGCAACTAAGCCATTATTGTAAAATAAAAAGAAATCCCTGTATCCATCTTTATGTTTAAAATATATTTTTTTTCGAATTGGGAGCCTCATTTATTGATGGATTTTAAAAACAACTCTAAAGTTTATATGAAAAGATTTAATTCCCTAAGACTCTGTAATGAAATATAATGAATAATGGCCCGAAATATCTTAGGGAAGTTTCAACATAACCAGCTTCATCTTTAATAGTCTATAGGTATCAGCGTATAATAGAAGCACACAACGCTTACTACAACCACTATGTTTAAGTTTGAAGTACGAACAATGTTTATCTGTAGTATCACAATCAGCATTATTTTAGCTTACGTGGACTTTGGTAGACAAGGCAACCACTCCAACCTAACCTATATGTGGTTCTTATATTTTTTTATTTTCTTATATGTTGTAATAATAGACATATAAAAATCGCCACAGGTTCGCCACAAGCGAATGGTCAGGTGGAGACAAAAAAATCGGAGTTTAGCACCAATGATTGCTGAAATGACTAACGCAGAGCATACAGCTTCGCTAGATAAAATAATGCCTGAAATAGAGTTCACTTTTAACAATGCAATTAATAGAAGTACTGGAAAACATTCAGTGAATTATTATTTGGAATTGACATCAGGAAATAGTAGTTGACTTTTTAAAATAAAATTTAGACGAATTAAAACCCAGTGAGTTTTAGAAAGATCTCGGGAAAGTAAGAAGAGAGGCTTTAAATCAAATCGCTAAAAGTCAAAACTAAAATAAATTACTTAAAGACTGCCACACAGTTCAGAAAACATATAACGTAGGAGAATTTTGTAAGTGAAGTAGGCATTAGTAGAAAGATATTTCCAAAATTTTAATGACCCTATAGGAGTAGTGAAGTAAGTTCTACCTAATGAACGATACCTAGTAAAGAATGTAAGGGACTGCGATATCAACCAGAAGCGGCAAATATTAAGCCATGGATTGACAGTTCTTACAGAAAAAGTTCAATATATTATTGGAATTATTTCTTATATTTATTTAATCTTAAATAATTTTTTTGAGACTGCAAGTACCAGATATCGTGCCGAGTCAAATTTGTGCAGGTTGTTGTTGTAGTTGACTAATTTTCGAAACCTCTTCATTAAATACCACAGTTTCTATTAAAGTAAGAATAGTCACGACTGTCATATTTACGTTAAAATCAAATTTTAATAAAATAATATAAAAAAAATATATATACTACAGACATTCCCACCCTACGCCCCTGTCAATGGCGCTTTACACAGACGACACGAGGTTGATATACTCTGACAGGTATGCCATAAATATAAGCAACACCTTACAGGGAAATATAGACCTCATAGTGGAATACTTCCAGAAATGGATGATTAAAATTAACAATGATAAAATCAAGCCTACATTCATAACACGAAAGAGAAGGCAGCATCCTCCAAGAGTGATCGCCGGAGATACGGTGGAAGGAAAGCATAAAATATCTGAGGGTCACATTTGACAAACAACTCAATTGGCATAAACACATGAAATGCAAACGCAATAGCTGTTCTAAAATTCTACATCTTCTAAAACCGCTGTTCAATAATAATCACTTCAACCTCAAAAATAGAAAGTTACTATATACTCAAAAAATTAAGCCAGCACTACTGGTCGGATGTGTTACATACAGCAAAGCCTCAAATAGTGCCATAAAGCAATTACAGATAGCACAAAACCTGGCTGTAAGAAGACTATTTAGGATTCCATGGCAGTTTAGAACATAAGACATGCACAGAGATCTAAGGATCGACTCAGTGAATAACTACGTCAGAGACAGAGTACTAAAATTATTCACAAAAGTTGATACGCTGCCCAAACCCGCCCTAACAAACCTTAAGTCTACCTCAGGAGCAACAGGACAATATGCTGACCTTCGGTCCATCATCAGTTGAAGGATAAGTAAACGATATGAATTCCAATGTAGTTAGAGCTTAGTGTGGGGCAGGGATAAGCCACTCAGTCACAAAAGAGTAAAAGTAATATAATAAAAATAATAGCGAACATAATAAAAATATAAATTAAAAATTTTGTTCATTGAAACAATAAATTATATAAAATATAAAAAATGAAATAAATATAAAATAAAAACAGAAAAATATTAAAAAAAATTTTAACTATCATTAAAAATTGTAATAAAATAAAAATAATAAATTTTTTATTAAATGTAATATAATTTTATTTGATTGTATGTTGCTTGTTGTAAGTCTTGGTAAAGCATATTGCCTTTGTTTTGAAAATAAACTAATTATTTCGCTTTCATATTTCATATGAGAAGACGTATTATTACAAAGTTCGAATACAAAATACCATATTAAGCCAATTTAACAAATTTATACAGAGAGTTCAAAATTATTGTTATCAAACTTCAGCATATCTGAAGTGCAAATAAGTTGAGTAAAATGATTCAACGGAAATGTGCTATTCCAGTGCACGTTGCCATTTTGTTGGTTAGCCATGCATCACCTGCAACCTTTTGTTGCAATGAGATAAGAGCATCCTCCAAGCACAATAAACAATTTGAGTGCATGTCAAAATTTATGCATAGAGCAAATACTTTACATATCCGCACGGACATGGGCATGGATACGAGCAGCACGGACAGGGGCATGGGTGGAACATGTGAGCTGAGACCTGAATATGCAATTCAAATTAAGTTTATTTGTACTAAAATTTCAAAATATTCAACATGTGGGATTACTTCTGGCAAGCCTTTAATATACTTTCGGACACTTTTAAGCAAAAACATTTTACTATGCAATTTAAAACTGTTTTCTCTCTACTAACAAAGGCAACAATTGCATTAACAACAAAAACTGTTGGCTATAAAGTGAAAATAGAAAACATAAAATAGAAAATAGAAAATAGAAACAAGTATGGTATAGTACATCTACGTAAAAGTACAAGTACGAGGAGTCTCAGAATTAGATTGAGAACATGAGGCTCATAACCCGCAATGGACTATCTTCCCCAAAAAGTTAACAATGTGGCAGCACACAGGATGGCCATTGAAGTTAAAGCACACTTTTAGGAAATTTTCTGCAACTTGTGCAGAAATTAAACAACTCAGAAATGCTTCATAATGCTTCATAAATCACCATGAGTACGGCACATTACACAGATCGAGATACAAAATTCAATATGAAAGATGTAAAAAATCTGTAGTATTGACATTTCACTCAGTGGGTATCCTGGTGCGCCTATTTGTCATTCAAAATGAATATGTATGAGTTTACCGAAAAGTTAGTTTATAATTTTTCTAACAATTTATCAAGCAAGGATATGTCTTGATGTGAAAACACACGTACACATACACTACTTCAGAAATTCTGAAAAAAAATTCCACATTTTCCTACTTTTGACATTGATTTTCTTCTTTTATTTATGTTCTCTGCTGTGTATTTGAATGCTTCTGTTTTTATGTGCTTTTTAATAACTGAATCCATTGACAAGAGCATGTAATCTAAAGATTGTTCCTGACAAAGCAGACGGAAATACATTGAGATACAAAGCTGAAAAAGTATGCAAAAGGCTGTCACGAAATGATTTATCTTAATATTTAATAAGAAAAAAATTATTTTCTGTTCATGACTTTGCTATTTTCTTAATAAATATTGAAATCAGAATTGCAGATGATTGTTATCTTTTTCTTCCTTTAGAAAAAAGAAAACAAATTTCTTTGAATATATAAATTATATATAGCTGTGTATTAATAGCAAATATCATTATTATTATTGTTAGGGGACGTGGCACTGCGACTGTCGGCTCTATTGTGCCCCCTTTTGCGCTTAGAGTAGGTCTTTAAGCCCTCTTGCGTCAATAAAAAGTAGTATAGAACCTACTTTACAGAGTTTTATTGTCTCCTCCGTAAGAATATACATATCTAGGAGCCAATTTCGTATGTGCATTATAAGTAATATTATATATTTAATAACTTAACAATTAATTAATGCATTATTGGCCCTTAAAATTATTTGTGGTTTTAATACAATAACTTTATTACTACCACAAAACTAGTTCCACGTTCCGAAGAAGAAAATTGCTTTTGTTTTGAAAATTACGATGAATCGGAAGTTTAGTATATCTAGACTTTAAAAACTTAAGGTACACTGCTCTGATATAGTAGGTCTTAAATCTTAAATATCTTAAATATCTTCACATTCTTAAATATTCACATTGCATTAATCAAATAGATATCAGATAGCATTCCCATGAGTTCGGTATTTAAAAAATAGAGATTCACAGAATTACGCTATATATGAAATATTTACATAGAAAGAATCAAATAAACGTAGGATACTAGAAGATGCTAGGATACAATTTTGATAAGAGATATCAAGATATCAACGATATGTTTAGATGTCATTAAAATAATAGGGAATGTTCAATGATTATTTGAGTGGTGTTGAAAACATAACCTTTTAACCTTCTCAATATTTCATTGTGGCAAAATACATGTTTACTGATAACATGTAGTAGAGTTACATAGTGCGAAAATTATTGAATAATCCCTGTTCGATACTAAGACAAAACTAGTTATATATGTATTTAATCATGTTTGTGCTTTTACTTGTATATAGGTATGTATTCAATTAAAAGTGTAAAGTAAAAGTTCACTAGTGAACTATTCTGTTATCTTTGGAGAGAGTATCCTAAAGTAAACCTGACCATTGCAACAGATTG